ATAGCTTTCGCAAGAATCTGAACTGAGCGATGGCCACATCAGCACTTCGTGCTGCCTGGAGACCTTCTTCACCACTGATACCAATGCCAATGTGAGCTGCTTGAATCATAGAAACGTCGTTTGCTCCGTCGCCAATAGCGAGAAGAATAGACTCCTTCTGATACTTCTTGACCAACTTAACAACAAGAGCCTTCTGAAGAGGAGACACACGACAGCAGATGACAGCTTTGCACATGATGGCCAGGTCCAGGAACATCTTTTCCAAATCCTTCTCAAGCGCGAATGTCAGAGATTTTCCGTCGATAATCAGGGCCAGTGTCTCCGTCTCGATGGTACCGTCTCCTTGTGTTCTGATAGCATCGATTTTCTTTTGGAGATTGTCCCGTGTAGCGGCAGCCGTCTCCTCGTTGACTATCAAAAGCATCATATCCTCGCTGAGAAGCTTGCAACTCATACCGATGTTGATGGCAGTCTCTTGTCGATCTCCAGTAAGAACCCAGACCTTGATGTTAGCCTGCTGCAAAGTGTGAATTGTCTCAGGAACACCATCTTGAAGACGATCCTCAATGGCAGTAGCGCCAAGCAGGAAAAAGTCCTTCTCGATGATTTCCGAAGCCTTGTCTACTTCATCAGCACGGTTACCGCCAACGGTCATCTGAGCAGTATCGTAAATCTTGTACCATTCCTGAAACTCGTTTTCCGGGACTTCTCGCATAGCCAAACACAATGTCCGCAGACCCTCAGAAGCATACTCCTCAAGATGTCGAAGCGTGACTTCGACGTGAGGGTTGTGTTCATTGAGACGCTCCAGAATAACAGTATCGGCACCCTTGCAGTAACATCGAATCTTGCCATCGGGACATCGGTAGATAGTTGACATTCGCTTTCTCGTTGAGTTGAATTCGCAAACAGCAAGAAGTTCGTACTCGAGTTCCTGGCCGTTAGCATCGATGATGACCGATTTAGGCTTTCGAGCAGTGAACTTGTAGCCGAGATCTAGGGCGCCAGCGACCAAAGCACCTTCATCAGGAGAAGCAGCTTGGTACTTGATACCACCCTTCTCGTCCATCTCCGGAATAACAGTATGGCACGTCGAGAGCAGTGCCAAGAAATGGTCAATCGCGGGGGCGGTTTCGTGTCCGTTGGCCAGGTTAGACTTGAGGGCCTTGTAATCGAAAAGTCCAACTTCGACTCCGTCAATCATGGTTGGTCGACGATCTTCGGGTACATCTTCAGAGTATTGGATTCCAGCAATTGAACACTGCTTGAACTCCATCTGGTTGCAAGTGAGGGTTCCAGTCTTGTCCGAGAAAACATATTCAACCATTCCCAGCTCTTCTACCAAACTTGAAGTTCGGCAAGTAGCAGGTGTATCGTTTTTATCATAGTACATATCAAGGTCGTCGTTGATCAGGATAGCGTGCCAATATTTCACCATCTCAACGGTGACAAAGAGAGAGATGGGAACCAGAGCCGAAAACAGAACCCAGTATGTGACCATATCTTTGAGAAACGTCTGAGTGATTTGTCCGGCGGTGTTTGTAGGATCCAGGTAAAGATATGAAAGAGCATTTCCTTCGACCTTTCGCTGGATCAAGTCTCCCACAGTACACACGATACTCAGAACCAACAGAATGCCTACCAGCAAGAGGACAAGCCAATTGAGTTTTCTTTCGACCTTGGTACGCTTGATGGGAGCCGCAGTAGCGTTTCGCATAAGCTTGGTTTCGTGACCGGTAAACACTACAACGCCATGAACCCAGGGGGTGTTTCGTAATGTAGCACCTCTGAGAAGTAGTTGTTCTGGGTTAAGCGCATATTCCTTCTCGCCGCCTCCCATCTGCATGGTCAAGGTTGCCTCGTATGTGTAAAGACTGCTGTTGGGTTGTTCAGACTTGATACGTCCGCCCAACCTGCTGAGCTCATTTGGAGAAACCATAGACGAAGTTTCCGGAATCGCTTGCTTGATCTTGAGGTTAGTCTCGCCATCCAGATTCGCAGTTTCGATATAACAGAGACCTTCGGGTTCGGAACTAGCCAGAAGAACCAAATCAGCAGGAAAAGGCTCCTCCGATTCAACCCTGATGATGTCTCCAATGGCCACATTAATCCATTTGGTTTCCTCGAAATTGGATCCTCGAAGTACACGTGCTTTGGAGGTGTTGAGAGCGTTATCGGCTTGCTTTCTGCGATAATCCTCGACCAATTCTTTACCAGCAGAGATGATCAGGACTACAGTGAGAGGTGCAATGGTTGTATACGGGTTGGTGGGTGACAGATTGGGGATCTGCTGAAGCGCGGCAGTGAACAAGAAGAAGATGTTGGCGAATTTGGAGAATTGTTCGTAGAGGAATTTCGGTAAGAAGGATGCAATGTTGTACTTGGCAGTCGAGATATGGTTGTCGACATATTTGTTGGCGGCATTTGCGGGTGGATTGTTGAGATATATGACTCTTGGGCCAAGGGTTGAGGGGTCTGGTTTCGATGATCCAAACCCAAACTTGAAATTGCCCATGTCGAATCTACCCTTTTGGCCCTGCTGCGAAGGTAGCTGAGATTGTCCTCCAACAGAATCCCCTCGATCATGGCCGGGCTGCGTCAAAGGCAAGTCCATCTCCGAATAACCTTGGCCCATGCCTAACCTGTTCTTAACTTTGCCTATAAACCCTCCACCCATACTCAAGACGCTGTTTCGGTTCCGCGCACCGTTCATACCCAAGCCCGGTGTACGTTCGTCAACCCTTGCGCCTCCATCGTTGTGGTAGTACGAATCGCCTTCTGCAGGGTAGTCGTCGAAATCGTCAGCATAACGCTGGTAGTTGCCAAGTTCGGAAGTTTGGCTATATTGTCTGTTGAGGTAAGGATTGGAGCCTGGGCCAGATCCAGGGACACCCAAAGCGCCGGGGGGGTGCTGGGTTGAGGCACGATTCGCGTCTCGAGCGCCGACAAAGTCATCGTAGGATACTGAAGTTCTTCCGGGTGGGGGGTCTTGGTTTTGTTCATGGAAGCGCATCAGGTCGTCGTCGTTTAGGTTTGAGCGTTGGCCGCCACCGTAGACGGGCTGTTCATTGTCGAGATCGAGCAAAAGGTCGTCGCGATTATCCGAGTGTCCGGTATTGAAACCTCCTCCAGGCGGTCGCCCAGCCATGGCGGCGGGTATTTGAGTGTCAGACTATCGATTCGCAAAAGGCGATTGCCTGCATAAGGATTCGATAGGGCGAGGTTGCGCGATGAGAGATTCGGTTGGTTAATTGAAGAAAGTCTAATGGAACTGTAGAGCAGGTGATGTGGGATGCAAATGCTGTCGATGCGATGAGGTCGGGCGATGTGGGAGGACAAAATGCCAAGCAGAGTAACAAGCTGACGGCAATGAAAGGACCGTGTCGTTAAGTCGTTAATTCTTAGCGGCCAAACCAAACCAGACCAGAGACCCAGGACAGGGACAGGACAGGCAGGGGAGGTAAGGTAAGCACTGTAAGAGCAATGTCTCTGAATCCTTCCTCCTCTTGTGGCTGGGCTGAGTTGCTGGGAATGAAAGCCGTGACGACCGGATTGCGGATTGCACATGCACAGCCTCCTTTCCTTTTAGTTAGACGACTACTACCACCTTGGAGCTGCGCAGCGCAAGCTTCCTGGAAGAGGAATAGACCGTGCGATACGACGTTAAACGAGGCTCAAAGAAGTTGAATGTGGCCAGCTTGTCGTCATTGATTGGCTAGACGACAGCTTAAGCTGGATGTGTCAATGACCGAATGTTGATATGTTGAAGCTGACAAACTAAGAAAAGAGATGAATTGCCTGTCAAAGAGCAGTGCAGTACAGTATAATACAGTATCCATAAATTGGTGATGATGGATGGATTGGGCGGCTGGCTCTTTCGTGTTGGGTGAGATTTAGGATCTATCCACAGTGCTAAATGACCCCAGTGCAAATGCTCGTTCAGGGGATGGATAATAGGAGTCTTGCTTATTCTATTATCGATCACCCTGTCAATTCCATCTACACTCGCTACTCGCTCGCCTTGCGTTGACGCATTGTTTTATTCTGCCCTAAAATGTCAAAGGGTCTTTTCGGCTAAAGCTCCACGTCCGCTTAGCAACTCTAGTCGCCATGTTGTTTCTATTCATGGCCGCTCATCTGGGCTGAGTTGCAGATAAATGGCCACCAGCCAAACAAGCCACAGTAACAAAGAAGGTATGGGGAAAGCTATCCAAGTATACGTCCATCCAATTTCTGGGCATAATCTACTTTCGGGCCGCTGCCAGTCATTTCAGGGTACATCCGCAGGGGAGATTCTTCATCCCCAAGCCCCTTACACGTCGTCAGCACCCCCGACAGATCCAGTAAGTTAAACTAACCGATGGATATCTCCACTGTAAAACAAACGCGTACGTCCGTTTCAACGATTGAAAGTCGCTGCTCTTGTTTAATTTGTTCTTTGCGATACCCACATCTACGGGCAAGTAATTTTACGGTTTCGGGCCCTGTCAATTACATGTGAACGGTTAATCGGCAGCTCTCACCAGATCCAGCTCACCTACAAGACCGTTGAATTGTGCATGAAGTCTGCACAGTTTCCAAGAGTATCATAGACAAACCCAACAAATCAAATTATTACTGCTTCATACTGGTTTCTAGATTGTTTCTCTTTACACCCTAGAGTTTGGACTTTAAGTTTTGTTGTATTCCATGGACAAAGATCCTACGACTATTCGACTACCCTGCACTCGTTTCTTAGTGTTTCTTTCTGTCTTAATATTAAAGTCGAACTGTATTAAAATCGTCATACACAACACAGAGTACCAATTGACTCTATTCTCGAATACAACCAATCATCACGTGACAAATGAAACATTAATGGACTGTTTCCTCCGATATGGCTCACTCATGGCAGTCTATAGCCACTGGAAAAGATCCAGGTTAGTTGTGTACGTTGTAATAAATGGTGATTTCTTTCTTTGTCATTCAAATATGAGATATATATCCAACACAAATTCTGCTCACAGAGATGCCTTAGCTTTCAAGGCACCATCCAAAACGCCGTCAAGCCATTTTGTGACATGCTGGTTCACAGCGTCAGAAGCCTGCCACAAAGCCCAGTGCGAAGCCTTGACTTCAGCCCGAGATAGATTCTCAAAGCTTGCATCCATGCCCTGCGACATGGAGGGAGGCAGAGCAGAGTCGTCGCTCGCGGTGATCATCATGGCAGGCATCTTGAACTTGTTGCCGCCCTTCTTGGCGATCTCCACGTCGTCGCGGTAGTTGAGCTCTTGCGTGCGGTAGTAGTTAAGAGGGCCGCGCAGCTCGGGGGATGGGTGCAAGCAGTACTGCTCGACGTAAAAGTCGAGGTCCTCCTTGCTGATGAGAGGCGAGGGGCCCAGCTCGGCCAGGTGGTCAAACAGGACACCCTCCTTGGAGGAGAATCCGAGCTCTCCGTTGGGAGAACGTCCGCCGTACATGGCATTCAGGAACTGTCGCACCTTCTCCTTGCCTTGGAGTTTGGACTCAACATCTGGACCCTTGAACTGCAGCTGGTAGCTAAAGTTGAGAAGGTGACCGCTTGCGATAATGGCTTCGAGAGGGAGGAAGGTTTCTCTGGGCTGCATGTAGGGTGTGCAGACACTGAAGACGCACTTGATCAACTCAGGGTACCAGGTAGAGACCTTCCAGACGATCATGCCACCCCAATCGTGGCCACCGAGAACGATCTGTCCGTCCTCGCCGACATACTTGCGAGCCAGCTCGTTGATGTCTGCAGAGAGGCTCTTGTATGTGTACTCCTCGAGGGACTCTGGGGCATCAGTGCCTGCGTATCCCACCATATCAGGGACAATGACTCGGAATCCCAGAGACATGAAGTAGGGAACTTGGTAGCGCCAGCCAAAACCAAGATCCGGGAAACCATGGATGAGAACCATGGTTTCTAGAGGGGTACCCTCAGGTTCACCGACAATGTACTTGTAGGTTTTGCCCCGAATCTGGGCCTTCTCGTGCTTGACACGAGTGTCATTTGGCACAAGCTTATCGGGAGCCATTTTTTGTAAATTGAAGGAGAGCTTCCTCTCTTTTGAAATGATAACAGCTATTGAAGATGTTAGTCGATTGTCGTCAGGGAACCAGGGCTGGAAATAAAGTTCCACGGCCATAGTGGGGGTGATGCATCGAGCTATGAGGGTTACATCATGTTTGAGCACTTACGTTTCTTGTGTCAAGTCGTTACATACAAGTTTCACCAAGTATATGTGCAAGAAGAATGAATGCTTTATAATGAAGAGAATCGCAAGTTTCGAGTGGCTTGGAGACTGCTTGCATTATATACCTGTGCCACCGAGTCCACGGTACGTGCGTAGGTAGGTTCATCCACTCATTGCTCCCGTCGTCTACGTAAATCCCGACGGCAAATTTAGACTAGAAACCGAGGCACGTACGGGAGGACTTCCTAATTTAGGATAATGGAGACGTCAATCGCGGCTAGAAAACACAGCTTATCCTGCTCATGATATCTGCCGTGGAACCTTGTCAACAAAACATACGCTCGCTTTCGGATTGTTACATAACGTAGTGTAGATAGATAGTGGATTTTTGGTGGAAGCCTCGGAGCGGTCTGCTTGGATGGCGGGAGGTGACGAATTGTTCGTCAATAGGTATACGGCGCAGCTTTCAAGTAATACAGTGATAGGGTATCAGATAGAACTAAAGCTTATTGACTTCAAGTCAACAATAATAACAGTTCCCATACAGCACCTTTGTTAACGCCAACCCCGCTTTTCCTGATTATAAAGCTGTACAAAATGATAACGAGGCTCAAATTTCATTCTCAGCCATCATGACCAGGTAGAAACAGCTCTACACACTCCAGCCACGCAGATATCGTGATATCGCAAGGCAGCGTTCAATAAATCACCATGTCCTCATCAGCTTCTTCCAACACATCTGCTGCCTCATCATGGTGGTCAGCTTCATGACCCGTCTCCTGAGTTCTTCCTGCATGTTCTGTGCCATTCGTAGTCTTATAGCCATGAACCATTTCTTCGTCCGAGGGCGCCATCGTTTCTGCTCGTACTGAAGATCGCCAGTCTTGATCTGTCTGTCGTTCTTTTCTTTCGTTGAAAGCCTCCACTTCCTGTTCTACTGTAGCTTTCGCGTGCCGTATTTGCTCGTCTATCGCATCCTCCTGCGCTTCTGTGAGTTTCCGAGGGAGATAATACTTTGTCTCATTAGCATAAGCCCCATGATAAATAAATGCTAGTTTGACTTACGATCTGTGGTTGAGATTTCGTCCGTAGGTATCGAGCCACCGCAAGCATTTTAGTATGCTTGTTTCGCATCTATAACATCGTCAGCTCTAGTCCGCCAGAATCCCTAAGTTTCTGGCTTGGCCAACTTACAGCTTCCTCGTCAAACACATTCTGTTCGCCTTTCCGAGCCTCCATGACTCTGGCTCTCTTTTCTGCCCGTAGCTTGTCATCTTCGAAACTCTGTTTGTGCATTCGTTCCTGCTGTCTTCGCTCTATCTCCAAGCGTCTCTTCTGCGTCGAACCGCCACTCGTCTGGCTCAAAGTACTCAAAAGTCCACCGAACAAGCGTTTGCCGCGCTTCTTCTCTTCCTGAGTCGCGACTTTTCGGCGATCAACATCCACGCCTTTAGAGCCGCCATAGGAACTGCGGCGCTCCTGTGACGAGCCCCTCCTTGGTCGTTCGTTCGTGGCTTCACGAAAGTAGTCGTCATGTCTCATGCGTTTTGATGAATAGCTGTCTACATCTTCGAAAGCCTTCCTCTTTGGGATCTCTCTGTCTGAGACATTTTGAGATGCTAAGCCGTCATTGTTCCCGGGGCTTAGTTTCATGTCATCCGCGGCGCGGAATCTATGATCAAGTTAGTAAGACATAGCTAACAAGGGAAAAACAATTCGTACGCATTTTCTGTGGTCATTTCGACAATAGCCAAAGTTTGCTGCGATGAATGGGTGGTATGTAATGTAATATGACATCTGCCGTGCCGCAGAATAAATCGTGAAAGTTAAGAGGTCTAAGATGTCTCTTGATGCTTGTCAAGGCTTAGGAAAGCGGTATTGATGAGAATTGTGGGGTTAGTTTTTGCCATGCAGCCAATTGTGTGACCTTGCATAGCCGGGTGAGCTCTGTTGGAGTTGAGGTAGACGCTAGGATTCGAGGTTAACATGACTGATTTATTTGGCGGGCTTTCACGATTTACAAAATCTAATATTGACTTTATGGAACTGATTTATGTTATTGTGTACCTATTGAAACTCGAATAGAAGTACTATAAGTATCAAATTAACAAAGTTATGAGCAGCTTCGGGCAAAGAAACTCACTCCTACTCGCTACAAGAAACATACCATGAAAGATAAAAGAGTTCATTTTTTTTTTAAAGGAGCAGGAGGGTTACCACTCGAGCCCTACTGCTCCCTTAAATGTTTTTGTATTTATTTTAACTCTCTATTATTATCCTCCTTCTTGATATGAAGACTCGATAGATATCTACCTACCTATGTAGGGAGTTAAATGTAAAGGTATAGCTGTGGTGTCCCACTTATATGATTGGCCTGCCATCCTGTCGCCCCTCGAAGCTGTCGGAACGCTACGGCAAGGCTGAGAAATCCCCAGTGCTAAACTCGCCAACATTTATCACAAGTTTCTGACTTCAACTTCCACAACACACCTTTCGATATCGCGCATCTCGCATAGAACATCACCTTTGTTAGATCTTGCGCTTATCGTCATCATGTCTCGCCATCATCCGTGAGTCTCCCAAATTCCTCCATTCACAATGAGCAGCCCAACTAACCTCTGCACGCAGCGATCTTGTTATGTGTCGCAAGCAGGCTGGCATCGCCATCGGCCGTCTCTGCGACAAGTGCGATGGAAAGTGCCCAGTCTGCGATTCCTACGTTCGACCTACGACCCTTGTGCGAATTTGCGACGAGTGCAGCTTCGGAAACTACCAGAACAAGTGTGTTGTATGCGGCGGTGAGGGTATCTCAGACGCCTTCTACTGTTTCGAATGCACGCGTCTTGAAAAGGATCGCGATGGATGCCCCAAGATTATAAACCTGGGAAGTTCAAGAACAGATGTAAGTAACTCAAATTCTTTTCCTGCCAACAAGATGCTGACTTTCGTCCCTCCAGTTATTCTACCAAAAGAAAACGAATCGGACAACGCAATATTAGCAGAGCTGAGGCCTGGGCTGGGCCGTGGATTGAGGTGTTTCGTGCTTGGAAGTACATCTTCAAATCTGGCATCATGGGTGTTTTGGGCGCAAATTAGGTTGTGAAAAAACTCTGGTTTTTTGGATTGAGCGACAGCTATCTAGTAATTACAATGCTGACCAGCTTTGTTCCTTATTCAACTTGTGTAAAATTTAACTTGAAGACACCTTGGCTGAAAAACGACAAAGAAACAAAAGTTCAACCCAAAGACTCCTCGTAACGCATAATATGCTAAATAATACAGTCAAGAATGTAAATCATATGTAGCTGACCTTGACCCCCATTCCTGCTGTGCCCTTGACTTTGGCCCAGAAGACGGAGAGTATCCGCCTCACTCGCGCGCGCAGATTGGCATTGCCAAACATAAGAAGCAAACCCATAATAAACGCCATAAACTTGACCAGAAGCATGGGGTTCGCATTGAGCGAAGCACCCAATTTCTCGATCACAACACCCAAGCGTGAAATAACCATGGATGCGCGTGATGCCAGAGTTGGAGCGCGAGAGACTGCTTTGCCGCTTGCTTTGGATCCCGTTTGGCTTGTGCTTCGTGCCTTTGACAGCCTGGACTGTTTTGATGATGATGACAAAGTCCTACCCTTCCGAGGTCGAGTTGATCCGTTATGACTAGCAGTGTCGTCGACTCCATAGTCAACCTCACTCCCTTCGGGCTTTGCACTCTCTTCTTCTGCTTGTTTTGCCTTTTCCTCCTCTTCTCGCTTTGCGCGCTCCTCCTCTAGTCGTTTTCTTTCCTTCTCCTCATTCTCTGCGCGCAACCTCTTTGCCTCTTCGATTTCTTTCTGCAGTTCATCTTCTTGTCGTTGTCGCTCCTCATTCTCTAATTTTTCTTGCTCTTGCTGCTCATCGTGGAGACTCTGTAATGCTTGCAGAAAGGCCTCACGGCGCTCTTCGTCCAAGACGGAACTAACACTAATAAATTCACGAGCATAGTCCCATTCGTTGTTGCGCAAAAGTACGTGTAGTGTGTACAACTCAAGGATCTTGACCCGAGCATTGAGATCTCTGGGCGTGTTGGCGCCGCTCGCTCCTTTGGCTGGAGATCGATAACGATTTGTGATGGGCGATGCCGATTCAGCAAGCCGACCAGCAACGTCAAGGTTAGGGGTGTTCGAGGCAGCTAGATATGCCTCCAACTTATGTTGATTTAATTTTTGGTCACGGGCATGTGCCAACAATATCGTCGCGCTGGCCGAGTTAGTATGAGTCTTGGAGCTACACGTCGAAGAAACTTACAGGTTGATTACCACATCTGAATCGACGTCACCCTCAACACCGTGGTATCCGTTCGCGACAATTTCATCCCAAATTTCTCCATCACGGACCTTGGTGCACAGGGCTCTCCATTCCTGGTTCCCGAATGCATCCTTGCCCTCCTCGGGCTCTAACTCGACAATACCATTGAGAATGGTAAGATACAGGCTCCATACTTTAATTCGAGTCGTTCTTGACGCACGCGCGACTGGCGCAGGCTCGCCATCGTCGATATGATCGGGTGGAGTAATCAGTGGCAGTAAAGTCGTTAGAGCCTCGGGCAATCGACGCGTAAGAAATAAAGTTGAAGCTTGACGGTACGACTTTGATATTTGAGAAGGATGGCGCGTTGATGGAGAAGCCGCCAGAGAGGATATGGAGGTTGTGAGGAGGTTGTTGGACAGTCCGACAGGCGCATTTGACATTGCGGTCGGACCGTAGCCGGAGTGTTGTCCGTTGAAAGACATGACTATAGCTAGATGTATACAATGGATTTAGTGGCTAGTATAGAAGCCGGCGAGGCAATTGTCGATCGAATACGAAAGTTTGCGACGTTTACTCAAGATGGGTTGGCAGTCGAGGAGGCGGTATGTAGAAGACAGGGAATAAGAAATGAACAGACGAGGATGAGGCGAGCGGAACAGATCTATCTAGTTCACCCCAGATTCATGATTGAGAGGATGGATACGTAAAGAATAAAAGAAAAATACGGGGAAACCTAAACAAAAGGAACAAGAACAAAACTCGGGACTCACGCGTCAGGTTCAAGGCCGAATTCAGTTAAGAAGGCCGTGACATGTGAGGTGAGGTGGTTTTTGGTTTGTATGTAGGAACAACAACTGGAAAGCTGAGCTGGAGCTGGCTGAGCCAACCAAAGATGACAAAAGGTCCCAGTATTTTAGCCTCGGCAGGTCCAGGTGGGGGACCGTGCTTGGTTGCTGTTTCCCCGGGCCAGTTATCGCTCACTGAGCCGACAACGGCGGAATCGTGACCGAGGTTGACAGCTCACTGTAATATCCACTGATTAAATACGTGCAGTGTCTTATTTGGTTGTTTGTTGGTCAAGACACTGACATCAGTTGTTTTTAACCAGCACTTACATGTTCAAGAAAGTGGATTAATGCTGCAAACTCATCACCGTTTATTCAGTTGCCTTTCTTGGCTCGTCAGTTGTTATCACCGCTTCTTTGTATTATGGCCCAAACTCGGTGTTCTCATTTCCCACTAATCCAATGACCTACGTAGGCTCGGCAAAGTTATCCCCATCTGACAAGCATATGCTTCATTATGGCAAATTGGTCCGGGCTGCACTAAAGGAATGTAAACACAATAAAGGCAGGTTTCAACTAGCACAAATGACAATTAATGCAATATGATCATTTGACAAGAATTGATCATACCTGAAGACGACAATCAATACTCATTTCAATGCTTACACGTGATCGGACTATACGGGTTTCTTACCTATCAATGAACCTAGTTCATCCGCAATATTGGTATTGCACATTTATCCCAAGACAATTCCAAATGATCGACAGTGGATAAGTCAAGAGAAGGACAAAACGAATCCAATCGGAAGGTTCCTGGCACAAACATGTTCTTGTGTTGAAGACGTGATCCATGCAACACCAAGATCGCCCACGTCAAAAACAATTCTAAACAAGGCACCCAAGGTAAGCCAATGGCAATACAATTAAATCAACTCTAAATAAACTAGACAATGTCTGCTCCAATTGGCATATTTGTCTATAATAAAAAACAAATCCATGGTATCACAAACGCCGTGTCAAAATGAACTCCCCTATTGTACAACCATTCCATGTATGTTCTGAATCATTTCCTACGTGTTGACCGTGTCGACCTCCTCACCGGCGTTTTCTCTTGGCTTACTTCCTTGATTTCTTCTCGTGGAGCAATGATGCTGTCTTCATGCTGAAGGATTGACTCATCCGCCCCATTCAGTTGGTCCTGGCGGATCCAGCCCGCTTCGACAGCAAAGCACACCACGTCTGCAGCACAACCGAAGCAGGGCACGTCCTCTCCCGCATCTGGGTTGAGATACTCCCAAAGCTCTTCCGTTTCGTCCTTGAAGCGTGCCAGCTCTGTTTTGTCGCCCTTGAAATGGCTGGTAATATATTCGTAGAGGTATGCTAGCCAAAGCACATTTGTATATGGTGCGTAGGCATCCCATGATAATGGCCCATCGATGCCCTTCGCATAAGGCGTATCATGGGCGTCTGGCGGTAAACATGTGCGGTCCGCGCGGAGAAGGAAAGACCTCATTTGGCGGTAAACCTTGCATTGGTCTGCATGTGTGCTGGTGAAAAGGCTAAGGTCTCTTTCAAGATCAAAAGCTACTGGCACCGCCTCGTCAATTGAAAGGTCCTCACCGCGAGAAAGGCCGTAGTCTAGAATGGTGATATCCAGACCGGAGTAACCAAAGAATCCTGCTGAAGGAGGGTCCATCTTTCGAGGTGGCTTAACTTGGCGGATACATAAATTACCCTCGTGAAGGTCACGATGCTAATCGTGTTAGTGATAGTTCTGTACAAAAGAGATTTTGATCAAGACTCACCTCAAACATAACAAGATCCTCAGCTCTTGCCAAGGCAATAGCCTGTAAGAAAAAGATGTCCCAAAGTTGACTTTCGCTAGTCAACTTCCAATCTTCCAACGATGTTCCAGCATCGCCAAGCTCGACCACCAAGAATCGTGTGTCATCCAAGTATCTGCTTGGAGAGGGATAAAACTGAGCCCGGCCTGGATCTTGACGCTTCATCTTCTTCTGAAATGATTGATGCGTCTCGAGAAGCTGTTTGGTCGTTTTACCCTGAACAACATATCGCTCTTTATAAACGACAAATCCTGGAATATCCGCCAACCATTCCGAAATTTGCAGCTCGCCTTTAATGTCCTCCTCGGGATGCGGTTCTTCATCGACTAACCCGGATTTAACTTGTGCTTTGGTTTGGGGCTTGATGGGAGATGGGAGACGGATAACCTTGATGATGCTTGTTCCGCGGTCGTTGGTAACGCGGTACACTTCAGCATATGAAGCTTCAGCGATTTTCTCAATCTTATCTCCAGGAAGGCAAACATCGTCCCAGGTGAGTGTGCGCAGTTGTGGTTTGTGTACAGCCTCCTCCTCAGCTATCTGGGCCTGGACTAGTCTTGAAAATTCAAACTCATCATCTTCCTCTGTTGGTGGATTTGAGGGGACTGGTTCTTCGAGCTCGGGTTCGGCCTTTTCAGGCTCAGGGGTATGCTCCTTCTCAGAGGCTGTGGCGTCCTTGTCCTCCTTAACCTCTGCAATCTCAATTGGTGCCTCTGGAACAGATTCTGTAACCTTTTTCAATGATCGTGCTTTATTTTTGGTAGTCGTCTTTTCTTCGATATTTATTGCTGATATTTTCTCTGTGATAAGAGAGATGGAATCCTCCTTGGCGGTTTGGTCTCCTTTTGGTGGTAGTCGTACCGGACTTTGAGGCAGCTCAGCGAACAGGCGCTCTGCTTTAGAGCGCTTTGCTTGCTTGCCATATTTCCTAACTGTTGTGGTCCGTGACATTGTAACTCGTCCAAAAATTGTTATCTTGTGATAATTATTTGAGAGTCGGTTCAGTTTTCATGGGTTGATTTGTATTGAAGATTCGGTTGACGGGGTAACGAGCCCACCCTGAACCTGGGGCCATCCGTGCTTGTCCGTGGTGTGAGACACTGGGTTTCTAGAACGTTTCTATTATTGAGTGACGTTTACTACTAAACGAGGCTGTTGTTGATATAATGGTTGACGAATTGTTTCCTGAACACCAAAAAATGGACGAGTTGGTCTTTCAATCAGCAAACGTACATTGATGGCCTAGGTAGGTACCTCTTAAAAGTTGATTGTCCCCTGTAGCAGAAGCTGTCACTTGACCACGCCCTGTAACTCGCTCGCTACGATTTACTAAGTTTAAAGCTATTGAAGCGAAAATCACGTCAACTGTCAAATACACATAGTAGAATTATAGTCTATATATACAAAACATGTCCATAGTCCAACATCAGCTCCAACATCAAAGCTCCTTGTAAGTGGTTGACTTAAATTCAGATGCCTCTTCCAGCTTAGCTGCAGGATCCAGATGCCATCAAACAGACAGCTTGTCTCCACCTTTGCCAAGCTAAGCTCTCCGCATTGAATCCCCCATTCTTTTGCCTCTCGTGGCCTTTCCTTTCCTTTCTTCTTTAACCTCCCCTCCGACCTTGTCTCCCTCCCCATTGAACCATTGGCAAAATGGCCTCTTTCTTCAAGAACGCATTTGGAGGCGAAAAGGCCCCCGAGGCCGCGAGCCCAGACTCGGGTAAGTAAAAACCCCAATTGGTTCTCTTTCAATTGCGCAATATTGCGACGCGCAAAGAGGGGGGACGTCACAGCACTATGTCACTATCATGACTTGACTTGACTAACACGCGACCTCTTATACAGACTTCGCCGACTTTGCCGAAGCTCCCAGTCCAGCTCCTGAGGTCGGAACCCAGGATGCGACAGTTGGAAGTGCCGCTGCCGCTGCCACTCAGGCTCCCTACACCAAGTGGTACAACGTCCATGAGCGTCACTCCATCTCCGAGTTCAGGATGGAGGGCCTCATCCTCCTCGTCTCAAGTTTCATCTTCTTGTTCCACATGATCGGCGCTCGTCGTAACCGCTCTAGAGCCAAGGGCTGGATGCGTGCTCACGCTCCCATTATCCAGAAGGAGTACGCTCTCGTCGGCTTCGGTGGTGTTCCCACAGTGAACAACGAGAATCTCAACACCGACACCCTCATCAAGGAGAAGTCCCTCTTTGAATTCGCTACCTACGCTACCGGCCGCCAAAACACGGCTTTCACCGATGTCAAGCTCACTCTGACCAAGAAGTTCAATCCCATTGTCAACTGCTTCGAGCACCTCGCCGGCTTCTTCGTCGAGTCTGTTGCCGCACCCAAGGATGTCGCTGAGGTCCTGACCTACCCCTTCGATGGCAAGGAGAGTCTCACTGTTCCCTCTATTCCCGGTGCTGAGGTTCGCAAGGACAACAAGAGCACCTACGATGGTTTCGTTTGGGGTATCGTCCACAAGGATGTCATGCGCCGAGTCCGTGACGAGCGATACGACGTTTCTCTCACTTTCACCAAGGATCATCCCAAGCTTCCTGTTTGGCTCACCGTCATGAGCGAGAGCGCCGAGATCACCGACACCCTTCTTACCCCTGAACTCATTGCTGCTGTTGAAGCCGCTGGTGACAATTTCGAGTACCTGATCATCTCCGACCAGCCTGTCGACAAGCCTCTTACTCTTGAGGAGACCACTCCTCGCAAGCGACTCTTCCTCAAGTACTCTCTTCCTTCCGGCGAAAACTACGATACCCTCTTGCCCCTCTTCTCGCACTACCTCCAGCTCCCTGACCTCCTTGTCAAGGTTGCCCACTTCCGCCCCGAAGTCACCAAGAAGGTCCGCACCATTCGTGACCACGCCATTAACGAAATCAAGAAGACTGCCGAGAGCCAGCGACAAGAAGAGCTTGCCCTTGAGAAGGAGAAGACCCGCAAGGCTAAGCGTGATGCTGAGCTCAAGGGTCTTGACGCCAAGGCTCAGAAGCGATACCTCGAGAAGGAGAGGGAGAAGGAGATGCGCAAGAGCCAAAAGCGACAGACTCAGCGAGCTTAAAGCCGCTGTTGGGAATTTAATATGTGTAAGGATATATCGGAGGGCAAATAGTGGGAATCTGCAATGCCATGGTTGTATAGTGTAGGAGCGAGGATCTGTATTAGTAGTTATTAACAGCCTAATTCCTTATGATGCCTGTTTCAATGCCCTAATGAGCCTTTAATTTATTTATTGGATCATGTCCCTGCTTTTGCAATGTTCTGATGGTATATTGGCGTGCCTAGGCTACTAAGTATAACTGATAAATAACAATATTATAATATCCATAACTTTTGTTATAGTTTTGAGCACCGAAACGTGCTATGCTAACGTATTTTCTTGTTCTTTGGATGATTGATGCCTTGTTGCCCGCTAAGCAAGGGTTTCAGCCCATTCAAACGTTGTTCTGTTGCACCAGGATGTAGCCTATGTCAGGTGCTCTGGCTCTTGAGCCCCTTTTTACATCCCAAGATTGTCAAAATGACTATAGATATTCCGGGAACAAATTGCACGGTTCCACACCTAATATTGAAGCAACCGAATATCGGGGTATATCTCCCACTGCGCTTCCATCTCTTTCAACTGCACACCAGAGGAATCGACAAGCTCAGAGATTCGAAAGCGATTATCCTCGGATTTGCCAGATATAATAAAACTGACTGCTGTCCAATTTCCATGACACCAGTCTTGCTATCCTGACAGGGAAATGCACTTCAAACCCTGTAGTTTCGATAATGAAGGGATTCTCTCATCTGAACCCTCTGCAAAATCCAGCACTCTTGCAGAGCTGCAATGGCCTTGGATGGATCCAAAGGATTGTGCATCTTGAAATTTGAATCTCAACCTTTCAACAAGATATTGCGCCTTTAGAGCAAGCCAAAATGGTTGGCTATGTCCTCCCCGTTCTTTCTGCAATGTGAGCCGTAAGGGATAACCAGACGCTCATGGCCCCATCCACATGCCTCCATTAGCTGTGCCACCCATGTTTTCAGGGCTTGGTCCAAACCCGTATCCAAACAGGGTCGAAAACTCATCCATCACTTGAGGCACGGACGGGAAATTCGCATCCATGCCCACAAATGGACTCGCAGCATGCATAGCCGGCATACCAGGTCGTGCAGTGTTGCCCATGCTGCCTCTCCAGAAGGTATTTGGGTTTTGCGGTAACGGCATCGAGCTCTCAGGTGATTCTTCTGGCCTGAAATCTTGGACAGGCCCATCGTTCTTCCATAACAACTCCCACTTTTTGAATCGCGAGTAATCAGTCTCCCGGCCAGACGAGTCCATGGTGGCGTCAAGTCTTGATATAGCACGCTCGAAAACTTCGATAAGGGATGCTTCAGATCTGGCTGACTCTCCACCTGCCGACATCTCCTTTATCATTGCCATGCCAGTGCGCAGAGCGTCACGCAACCGGTCTGTTTTCCTTTGTAAGCATTGAGTAATGATGACAAGTAGGGCAGCACGGCAAGAACTGAATTCTGTATACGAGGCGCGCGCAAGACCAATGGTGCTCTGAAGCAGATGGCAGGTATCGATGATAGTCAAGGCGGCTTCGACGCAGTCGGCTACTAGGATCGAGCGAGGATTTGACTTGTGCGGAGTGTTAGGGCGTTGGCTGTTAGAGTCGGCGGGTGAACTCGAAGTGCTCCCGTTACCGCGGACGACTTCGCGAGGTAAGATGAATGGTCGCCCAGCATACATCCGCAAAAGGCAATACTCCAGTTTGAGATGTGTATCTGCTCGCGAAATCGGGTTCTGAGGATTCACCTCGTCACGGTATGCAGTCTCGGGAAGGGAGTCCCACCACTTTCGAAGCTCCTCTTTCATGTCGATCACTCGCTGCAGACCCTCATTCATCCCATGCTTCTGTGAGGTTCGAAGCACCGAACTGTGTCAATAGTTAGCTTCTGGAGTGTCAATGGCTCATTATAGAACAATGACATACATCTCATGTGCGATTTTCCCAAGGGCTTGGTTCAATCGCAGGGTTGCGAGCATGTGTGCAACATTAGTGGCATTTGATGGCATGATGTCTGGTCGATCCACAGGCATATCTGCATCCACGTCCTTGCTTTGGATAGATAGTGGCCGTCCGTGGTAAATACCAACTCGCCTGTCGAGCAATTAGTCTTGAAATATTAAATGACTGCCATATGCACATACTTCTCCGTGGTATAGGCTGTCCACCACACACGATTCCTCGTTTCGCGAACGTAAGGATCAAGACCCTCAGCAGGCCATTTCCTGTGCATGCCATTCTGGATAGCAAGTTTCACTGCAAGATTGAGGTAGATATATGACAGCCCTGACGCGTCAAGCGGTAAGGTGTAGATACCAATAAGCAGAATAGCTTGAACACTTTCCAGTGACGCTACTGTGATGGCATCGGGAACAAGTTTACAGGCTTGCTGGTAGAACATCACACCAATTGTGTCCTCAGAGAATGGGCTCGAGTCATTAGACTTTCCGTGTGCATCTCTACCGGTGACTGAATCCAGGTAGGCGTACTGAGTACCAATAGCGAAGATGATCCATATCATGCAGAGAGTCCCGACTTCGCGTCGAGAAAAGGTACCAGGATTTTGGTAGATAAGATCGATCTGTTCGGTGAGCCACCCACGTTCAACGTAAAAATAGTTCGTTTCGGCATGCTTGTAGAATGCTTGAACCAGAAAATCGGCAACATATCGAGGTGGCAAAGCAGAAAGTGATGCTTGTGTGTTGTTGGCCGACTGAAGTTCTTCAGCACGGTAATATTCTTTGAAACTGAGAGGACCCGGTGCATCCTAAGAATGATTAACTTGAGTTGTTTTGATAGGCAAGGTAGGAGTCATACGTGGCGCTCTGGGACACATTGCTCAATCCACTGCTTTATTCGCATTGAGAAGTTCCAATGAGAGAACTCGCCTGAGTAGTCTGCCAATTGGATTAGCAATGCGACATCTCACCAAGTACAGTAAGACTTACGTGTAGTGTTATTGTCCAGGGGCTGCACGGTGTAGTTCTCGTCATCTGCTCCTAGATATTCGGAGCTTGGAGAATCCATGATCGGGGCCTGTCGTTGAAATTGAGACGCATCAAAAGTTTTGTTATCGATTGCCGTAGCCATGGCTTTTAGCGATTCTGAGTCTAGAGTAACGTTGCCAGCATAATGTGTGATGACCTTTTCCATGCAAGAGATGCGCTGGAGAAGCTCAGAGTTGCTTGCACCATTTCGATTCCTACACATACCCAAGTCAGTAACCGTGAAGATTTCAAAGTACTGGGGGACAGCTCCATGACTTACTTCCCAGAGCCATCGCCACCTTCACCATCTCGAGCAGTCGGGCCCAGAAACTCGCATTGTCGACGCAGGCGCGTGCACCTTCGGCATGGTACGCCACCGTCACATTTCTCCTTCTGACGTCGGCAGCCGTCGCAACTATTGACCAGTAAAGTCAGTAAAGGGCGGCCAGGGATTTGTTATAAAAATATGTAGATAGGTGACAGATATGAGCTTGGCTGAGCACATCCAAGGTTCGAGGTCGAGAAGAAGACATCTAAGCACTGCCTTCTTGACTTGGAACTTGGGCGCGCAATGGGATGGACATTTGCGCATGCGATGGGAACGTACGCTCGAAGGGCTCGTTTGCGCTCTCTTTCGGCTTGGCGCTGCCTATTCTTCTGCAGGTTTTGTTGTTGCTGGTCCATTTCCCGTCACAATGAGATGCGCCAGGTACAGTAGCGCGGGGCCGATTTCGAGTTGCGACTGGCGGAGCTGAAGGAATCCCGGGACCTCGAGCGACGGGAGGCCCGTAGATCCCAGCAAAATGAGTCGGGAGCTTGGGGTTGAGGCGCGGCGGCAAAAGAGCGACGTATGACGGAATTCGAAGGGTCGGTGGTAATTGGAGTTGATGGTTTAAGTTGAGCGGATCGAAGTGGTTTTACGGCCCACGGACAGGTAAAGGTAGATCAAGGCTAGGCTCAGTAGCTGGAGGCTTTGGAAGCGAATGGTTCCATCCAGGACCCTTGTGAGTGGATGCGCAACTCGGCGTAGTGTAGTGTAGCGCAGCACAGTGACTGGACGTTGGCCAATGCAATTGGTAAGAGCCAGCTTTCCAGAAGCAACTCTTGCAAGCAGGAAGGGGTTCAGATTGATTGATGGTGTCAGACTCGGTGGATTTTCTGTGCTTTCTCTTTACTTCTTTTTTCTCTTTGAGCTTCGACACAAAGGCGGATATTCTGGGCACCCGGTAAAGTAACGAACAGCACCGTTATGGTAGAATTGGCCGGAACAAGATCGTCTTGTTGATTGAAACGGGTAAAGTTCGAGTGAGTGAGAGACAGGAGGAATAAAGACAGGTACAGTGGAAGGAAGCCATAGAAAGACACGCGGGGAGTAACCTATAAACTAGCGCCCCGCCAGGACTAGTCCAGTTAGCGGAACCGCAGGATTGGATTCACCTTGTGTTTGATGTCTGTGAGTGAGCCAAGGTTGAATGGAGGATATGCAGTTGTTGGAGTGAAATTAACGTGATGCTGGTATAATGTAGATGCCGAAATGTGATTGAGTTGAGGCCACGGCATGGAATTGTCCTCAATATAGATAGTAGGTACCATCAACAATTGAGCTGAGAGCTTGCAGGCTGATCTTTAGGGAGCTGGGAGTAGCGCTAATAAACTATGCAAGGTCACACTGCACCAACCCTGGCCCTGTTAGAAGCTTGCAGTTGTTGATGTTGCTGCAAACCCAGCTGGAATAAGCTGGTTGGTGCGGGAGGTCAATCGGTTGCAGAGATGAAGAGACATGGTTTTGCTTTGTTTCACTCAAAATGGGAGAAAGGAAGGGTCGAGACTTCGGCTTCTTCAGGATGCAATGCTCTGTACCTTGTCATGCGCTTGAATGCGGTTGGCTGTCGATCCCGACAGAGTGATACAGTAGTGCTAGTGAGATAGTAGACAGGCGTCTTTCAAGGATCATTTCAAGCTCTCTCTTTCTGAGGCGGAGCGGAGCGGGGCGGAGATTATAATATCACCAAGTTATTGGTCTTGAGAGGTTTCTGAGACAAATTCTCAAATCGTAAGATGTCAACCAAATCCTTGCGTCAAAAGAAAAGCCGATTTGTCTTGGCTCTCGATCAGCCGAGCCCACTATGTTTTCGGTATAAACGAATGATACTGCACGTTTCAAACCTGGGGGAGATGCTACATGGAACAGACAAGGGTCTTGTTATCTGAGCTACCGAGTCAGTTAACTTAACAACACTATGATCGCTACTTTTCTACGTAGTTCTATAACTTACAGGCATAGATAGAGATATATAACCAATCATACTAATGAGGAGACATCAAAGGGACCGCCTACAATGTTCTACCCAACTTGGCTTCGCACGATGCTGTACATATCTCAACTCACAGACCACCAACGCCTCACTTTACTTAGGAGATGCATGTCAGAGCGACAAGGAAATATTTACAGACCATATCCTGGCATTTGCGGGGTTTAGCACTAATCGAGCATTGAGCACGGTACTCGTTCAATATGCAAGATCTCACAGACTCATTATGGGTAGGATGCTATACTATTGCTCATTATGCATGTCTGATTACTGCCCAAGCTCCAGAACGAATTGGTCAGATTTTGGGTAATTATACTTACTAACATAACTAGGTCTTACACTCACGGCTCTAGTCTTGTTGTCTCTTCAGTTTTCCAGTGTGGTCATGGGGTTTGTCGGTTCCGAGCAGGGGCATCGGCAGTTCTGGATCGTCACCTCTATGCAGAATATGTCGTCTATCAACGGCACGAAACACGCCGACATATACTCCGAATTACAACAAACTGACAATCTCTTCGGCAATCCGAGCGCCATCATCTCGGACCCGACAATGACTGCTCGCTCCTAACGACTGTCAATGGCTCGCATAACTCTTCAGCTGCACATCCACCACATCTTTTCTCGTGGCTGTTACTCAAACACCAACGCTTCTCTTACAAGTTCCTTTCCAAAAAGTGATCAAAGGTCCGCAGCCAATAAAATGAGCCCGTCACCCTAGCGAAGGAGCTGACGTCCGGAGCTAAGGAAAAAGGAATCTGAATCTGGAGATTGCATCTTGCGTGCGGTGCAGGCAGCATCAGTTTCGTAACCAACATCTGGTTGGTGCTCTCACTCAGCCGACCAAATCCGACATGAATACTCCCTCTCTGCATTGTCCTTGGCATGTACACACATTGCTTCTGCCGTGCATGCGCCGAACTATGGCTCTTAACAATGCAAGTCTCTAGCTTTTTACTTGCTACTGCAAGCCACAGCAAGTATCCCAGCCTGTATATCCCTGGTTCAGTGAAACGATGCAATAACACACCTTGTTCATCAGAGTCGGAGTATGTCTAGATCTCTTGTTGGCCTATGAGCTTGCTTTAGTAGCTTCAATGGCCCTCGTGTTGTAGTGTGATAGGCTAATAGATAGTCAGTATTAGAATCTTCGCTCGTGATGTTACAACATCCCGAGAACCAAGAACGTTGCCGAGCAAAACGCGGTGCATCGAATGTGGCTCAGATGTGCCAATCTGTTTCATCTTGCAGCTCGTTGTACGTCAATACGTTGGGCCTTTAACCTATGCCATGTAAAAGTTCAAATTAGGCCCATTGCTGCTGGTTAATCAAGCTTCACATGAGTTATAAGAAAAGTCAACTGAAGTAAATGGTAATTCTTTTTATCATTCCTCATATCCTAACAGTACTTCTTGTGTAGATCCAGTCCGTCCCGTGACGCCTGTTTCACCCGGTATATTACCAGCTCAACAATATTGGTATCCCACTCCTTTTCCTTTCCCTAAGGCGTTTCCAGTAACAAGCCTCATGTGTATAAAATAGTAAATAACAATGCAACGCTAGTGACATATTTGATGCTTAACCCTCCATTCTTTTTCGACAACCAAGTTCATAGCCTTTTTACATAGCACCAATGACCTTGTCAAAGGCACCGACGAGGGCGGGAATGTGCTCCTCGTTGAAGATGAGCATAGGTCGGAGACGAACAGTGTTCTTGCCGCAGGTACCGATGTTGACTCCGATGTGGCGCATAGAGCGGACGAGGCCAGCAGGGTCCTTGGTGTCGAAGGCAATAAAAGTACCTTGGTCCTTTCCTCGGAGGTTCTGGATGTACTCAGGGTACTTGGTAGCGAGGTTCTCGAGCTCGGCATACAGCTTGCCACCGACGCGGGCGGTCTGCTCAACCAGCTTCTTGTCGAGGATCTCCTGGATGACAGCCTTGCACATGATGACACGGGCTGGGTCACCGATCCAGGTGTTGAACTGACGGTAGGCCTTGTCGGGGATGAGCATCTCGTTTCCGAAGAAGTAGCCAGCAGTCTGGGCCTTCTTAGAGAATGTGACCATGTCGGGGGGAGAGCTCAGGTTCCAGTGGTCGTGGCCCCAGAAGGAACCAGTGGCACCGAAACCAGTCTGGACCTCATCAGCAATGAGGACACAGCCGTGCTTCTTGGTGACATCACGGAGACCCTGGAAGAAAGAAGGAGAAGCGTGGTTGTCACCACCCTCGGACTGAATAGGCTCAACGATAAGACCGGCAACGGGGCAGTGCCATGTAGTCATGATACGCTCGACCTCTTCAAGGCATCGCTTCTCCTCAGCAGCGTTCTCCTCGGCGTGGTCCTTGAGAGGGTACTTGAGAGCAGGGAAAGGAGCCTGGGGCCAGTTAAAGCTAGGAATGTCGAGCTTGTGGACAGCCTTTGAGCGGGTGGTGGAGAGAGAGCCGAAACCACGGCCGTGGAAAGAGTTCTTGAAGCTCATGATGGCGAGCTCAGGGGAGCCAGGCTTGGAGTTCTCCATGCAGGAGTTGATCTCCTCCTCGTTCCAGTCAGCATCACCACGCTTGCGGCGGCTGTAGAGCATGAAGGCAGCCTTGTAGGCCAGCTCGTTGGCCTCGGAGCCAGACTGAGCAGTGAAGATGTAGCTGAGACCCTTGGGGGCTACCTTCATGAGACCATTGCGGAGGATGTCGACCCACTGGTCGGAGGGGAAATTGCCAATGGCGGGTCGGTTGACGAGGGCGGAGATCATCTCGGGGGACTTGGCAGCCTCGATGAGGGTGTTGTTGTTGTAGCCAACGGGGATGGAGGCGATCTGAGCGTAGACATCGAGGTACTTGTTGCCGTCAACATCGACAATGCTGCAAAGTGTTAGTTTCGTAGTCTCTGGAGATGTCTTGATTAGGCACTTACTAGTTGTCGTGAGACTTGTCGTAGTCAACAACGAAGTGAACGGCACGGGCATCGAAGATGGCATCAAGACGCTTGGAGCTGGCCTTGGAGACGGGGCCAGGAATCTCCGTGCGAACGGCGTTCTCGACGAAAGAAGGCATCGTGAATGAAGTAAAAGAATTAAGTATTTATTTCCTCTGGGTATCTCAAAGTGTGTATATGAGGAAAGAGATATAAGATGACCTGAAGAGATTCGAGGTTGGATAGAAGCTGGGGGAGGGAGCTATTATAAGTAGCAAGCAGCTGGAGCTTTCGGAAGCCGGTGGCACTAAAATGTCGGCCATTGTTTAAAAATGTTGATGGATGGCATCGATATGCTTCTGCTTCCCTGCTGATCGCCAATTGTTTGCGGCTCATGGAGACTTCGTGGGGCCGGAGTCGAGAGACCGGCCGGCTCAGAGCCGGGGCAACGTCTCACGGGACCTATTGTAAGGCTCGGACGCCACCTCAGAGACCCAGCAATTAGTGTGGATTTAGCGAAGACGACGTGTACCTTGATTGATGGCGAAAGGATCGAGTATTACACTGTCCAAGGTTGTTTTTGTTATGTCTTGCTGTGTTGAACTGTAAAGTTATTGATTCTACTGATAATTGGAATGGTTTTCAAATTATTCCTCTTGATGTCCTCGTGATCGAGATGGGGGGTGTACTTGTTGAGCTTAACCACCTTTACCCCACCATCCGCAAACCAATCCCCAGACCTCAATTCTCAGTGACCTTCTCCTCTACTGAATGATGAAGTGAACATCGTTACTTGTTTCACTCAATCCTTGACTAATGTCCCATGTGAGTGTTTCTACTGTCTGTGCGTTATCAATTGAAGCGCCAGAAGCTTCCTATTTTTTACTCATGTCTCTATTTTTGTGGGGTTTAGCTTGTCGGCTCCCATCCTCCCCGCCGGTTTCCACTGTCGGTTCCGAGACATCCACCAAAATTTTCTCCCCACCTCCATCTTCTCCGCTGTAACCTTTTCCCCTCATAAACACCCTCTACTCCATCATACACGCCCCCACCGGCCCGGCTCCCAAAATGTTCACGGGACCGGATCATGGAGATCAGATCCAATGGAGATGTCTGCAATTCAGCGTCACCATTTATGCTACAGTAGCATTAACCACGGCAGTTACTAACTCGGCCAAATTCTTATCATAATTTGTCACTATTGTACAAGACCATCACCGGAAGCGACGTGGGAACCGAAAGAATTGTAAGCAAGAATACCAAGAGCTCCTCATAGATACCACATATATGAAAGAATACTGTCTCCTCTATCATAAGCTGTCTACCACATCCAAAGTCTTAGCCTGTCTCATACACAATCCTGTTATCACAGCCATAAAGTAACAACAGACTGACAAGCATCATGGCCTCTCCAAAGGTGTGTGGCAATAATATCATGCAGCTCATCTGCATCCCAACATTCAACACCAAAATCACTGACATGTTATCTTCCTGCAGCTTAGTGACCCTTCACTCATCAAGAACGCATGCTATGTCAATGGACAATGGGTAGCTGCAAAGTCCGGCAAGGACTTTTCTGTCGAGAGTAAGCACTCCAACCAATACAGCCCCCAGTCCTATACATTATCGACATACTTGCAGATATTCTAACTCTGTTTTCTCTACAGACCCTGCAACCCTTGAAAAGCTCGGAAGCTGCCCCGAGTTTGACGCAAATGATACCGAAGCCGCTATCGTCGCCGCCGATGCCGCATACAAAACATACCGCAAGACACCTGCACGACAGCGAGCCCGGTACCTACGCCGCTGGTATGACCTCATGATGGAAAATGCCGACGACATTGCGCGACTCATCACTCTTGAGAACGGCAAAGTTTGGTCGGATGCCAAGACAGAGGCTGTGTACGCTGCAAACTTCTTTGAATGGTTCTCAGAAGAGGCTCCTCGAATTTATGGCGAAACTATCGAGGCATCAAACCCATCATGCCGTCTATCAACAATTAAGCAGCCTGTGGGTGTTTGCGGTCTCATTGCGCCATGGAACTTCCCCGCCGCCATGATTACCCGCAAAGCTGGACCTGCGTTGGCTGCTGGATGTACCGTTGTTATCAAGGCTCCTGCTGAGGCCCCTCTCACAGCCCTCGCACTCGCTGAACTGGCGCACCGTGCTGGTATCCCTGCCGGCGTTGTTAACATTATTACTGCGCTGGACAACACTGCTGAGGTTGGTAAAGTCTTGACGACCCATTCCAAGGTCAAGAAGGTTTCCTTTACCGGCTCAACTGGTGTTGGTCGACTCCTTATGAACCAGTCTTCCTCAACGGTCAAGAAGCTGTCCTTTGAGCTTGGCGGAAACGCTCCATTTATTGTGTTTGAGGATGCGGATCTGGAAAAGGCTGTCAAGGGTATTATCGCCTCCAAGTTCCGAAACTCTGGTCAGACCTGCGTTTGCGCCAACCGTATCTTTGTGCATCGCAGTATTTATGACAAATTCGTCCAGATGGTCCTCGACGTCGTCAAGACCTTCGTTGTTGGAGACGGTTTCGGCGAGAAAACAACTCACGGTCCTCTTATCCATGGCCGTGCAGTAGCCAAGACTGCTGAGCATGTTGAAGATGCTATTTCCAAAGGAGCCAAGCTTGTCCACGGTGGCGAGCGTCTACCGGATCTTGGACCCAACTTTTTCGGCATGACGATGTTAACCGACATGACGACTGACATGAAGATCTTCAGTGACGAGACTTTTGGTCCAGTGGCCGCTTTCTTCGCATTTGATACTGAGGAGGAGGTTATCGAGCTTGCCAATGACAGTGACGTTGGTCTAGGAGGCTACTTCTTCAGTGAGAACGTGAGCCGATGTTATCGGGTGGCCGAGGCTTTGGAGGTCGGTATGATTGGTGTCAACTGCGGTAAGTCTTTGTCCTCAAACATTCAACGTGGCTTTACTAATATCGGTTCAGGTGTACTCAGCGATCCTGCCGCACCTTTCGGTGGCATCAAGCAGAGTGGATTCGGAAGAGAAGGAAGCAAGTACGGCATTGATGAGTTTACAATTACCAAGATGGTTATGACAAACATTGATCCATAAAAGTTGAGTTATTTAAAAGCAAAGTACGGTTGGCAAAAGGTGGAAGCAAAATACCCAGATGAAAGTTGTATATAGAGGAATGAACTTCTATGAAAGAATAGACAAACTTCTTGATCTACTTTGGCGTATGCGGAAGTCGAGTGCACAGACTCAGGAACCTATACAGCCTTCTACTTCTACCCTTCGTGAGCGGGTTCTTCTTAACCGCATATGGAATGAATGGGTGTGCTGTTAAGGCTTTGCGGTAAGGGGTCAAGTTAGACAGTTGCAGTACCTCAACACCAAGGACTGCCAGAGCTCTGTATTATCGCAGCGAAGAGAAAGCTTCATATGTGATTTGCTAGGATGGTTCAGATCAGGGGGTATGAGACGAGAGTTTGATCAGGATTCAGTCCCGAGTCGGTATACTCGTGTAGATCATCAAAGGGCGTTGCAAGTCGAAACACGACTGCAATGCGCTTAGTTCTTCTATCCAAAGCTTTTTACTAATTTCATAAGCATTCTGCAAGCCTGATACGATTTAATGCCATATTGTTGCTATGTGTACAAGATCTCAATGACCATTTTGAAGCAACGAAGCTATCGCCACAGCCTAGCCCACGCTTCCACTCCCGGCCCGTGGTGTTTCTGAGTGCACAATGAAGTCCCGCTCCGCTGCAGGACAAGCAGGGGGCTTCTTTCAGATCTTTGATCGAGCGTTCGCAGGCGGTAATTAAACGGACAAAGATGTTGAATTGAGCCGGAGACGTTTATTCTACACAGTTTGAAGCTCGGCGTCCGGTCCGGTCCGACCTCGTCATATCTTGTCTTGCCAAAAAGAAGCAGATAGTCAGAGATGGGGTCTGAAGGGCGTGTAAAGAAACGTCAGAATGTGGGGAAGAAAGAAAAGAGACATTGACCGGGAACAATTGCCGGCCCCACAGAAGATCTGAGTTTGGAGGTGCATCTACGTTATCAATAGATTAGACCGTAATGGAGTGTTCTCTAGTCAATATTTATCTTTAGCTTTATCTATGAAAATCAAGACGAGACGAACTGCAGACTATTGACCAAAAATTGACTAACAAGTCAATCATGGATAGAACGGCCTGGCCGCCGGAGCCGATAAACTGGCTCCAAAGTCGGGAGCCGAAACATGCAAAATATTTGCCCAGAACTGCTTAGCCGATCTCGGGGTACGTATATTATGTACTTGGCCGTCATGATTGCCTCCGCTCCGATGACAACTCCGGTTCAAGATATGAGACTGTCCGTCCGTTATTGCCCGGAACAAGTCTCATCACCTCTCAGCTCCGTGGTAGGAGGGCCGGTGGCATTCAATTTCCATTATAGCCCGACCGGCGACCGGAGGTTTCAGAAACACGCATGATACATGTTTGTACTGTTCCTTGATTATGAAGAGCTCTGGTCATTGGTCATGACCATCAAACAAAATACTTGAGCGGGGCGAGGTGACCGAATCATCAGGACGGCGAGGACTGGGAATAGCAGTGGTACATCTAGGTAGATGATCCAGACAATAATTCGTTCAAAGGTGACAAATGAGCCACTGCGCGATCTATCTCTTACATATATAGTGTTGTTATTAAAATCAGGGGTTCGTATCGAGGCACAAGAAGCTGTCACTTGCTATATGTCCTCGATCACTTCGGAAAGGTCATATGGCTCGGCCTTCTAAGTCTTCATCTTGAAGAAAGCTCGTTGTTGCGTAAAGCCAGCCAGCTGCTTCATCAGTTACATAATTGCTTGTCTTTAACAAAGCCGAATCACTATGACAGTAACATTACTACTACATTATGATCAATCGAGGTTTCGACCTGTGTATAGGCTGTAGTCCATCCAGGGAATGAGAAAGACTGTGAATTTGCCATGCCCTCGGGTACCAGGAAGATTTGCTGTTAGAGCATACGAGACTGAACAGCAAGCCAGCTTATGCTGTTTAGACCAGACTCTTAGGTTGTTTAGACTAAATTTTTAGGTTGTGTATTCTTGAAGCTACAGGCTTCGCGGCAATTACTCCTTACCCACGTCCCAGCGATATAATGTACAACCCGGACCTCGACAACCACAAGCGAGTTCTCCATAACTCAATTCACCGCGTAATTGGTTTAGTGGTAAAATTCTCCGTTGCCATTCAAGTAAAATCGGGGAGCCCTGGGTTCGATTCCCAGATTACGCATCAGGGTTTCATTTTTGCTGTTCATGTCGGTCCATCTACCATCTATCGGCAACGCGATTAACTTCATGTGTTTTGTGGTTCAGATGTGCAATAACTTACATGTCAATGAGTGGTAGGTGACTGCTCCAAGCAAAAGGTTGAACAAGACATTGGCAACAAGCCATCTGCCAAAGTGCGGATTGAGCGTGCAACGGCCATTGCCCGTCAGATGTTTGTAAAGACGAGTCTAGCTCTTCGTCTTGCCGATGTATGAAACCCAATCTTCGCTCATCATGTAGCTCCGTAGCTCTCAAGCACTGCTAGGCATCAGGCTTGGAAGGGAAAGAACGTCATGGTAACGATCCAGTACTTGCTGGGCCTTGCTGACAGATCTAGGAGATTCAAGCGTATTGCTTGGATCATGAAGGTCCCCAACTGTGAGGCGAAATTTACGGTCCTCGTCAAAGGCCTTGTTCTTGCCTTTGTTCATACTGAGTGGTGGCTATCGCTCGCTGCACTGACGGAGCCAGCAAGTACTTCCCTGTCCGACAGGTCCGGGTAATCTTGTTAAACTCGGCCGCAATAGCTATCGCTAAACATTCAACGTTAATATATATATGGAGACAGGGAAGTAGACAGGGAGAACTAACCAGTGCGATGCTTAGTTCATGACAGAATGAAAAAGGGGTGGACGTGAAGCTTGAACTAGGAGGGCAGGTGGAATGGTAGTCCAGATCAAAGAGAGTCCATTCAACTGCTATGGAAGGGCTTGCGGCAATATGCTGCTGAAGTTCATCCCATGAAGTAGCTCGCACAGCGCCAGTACTGAGGGCCCAAATTTGAAGCCACTTGATGATACATAGGCCGCTGTCAAGGGGATTGGTAAGCTCGTTGTAATGATGACTTGTGTCGAGATTTCGATCTATCATGGACATAGAATTAGCCATCAAGTTGACTAGGATATAGTGAATGTGCAATACCTCTGTCCTTTGACATTGCCGCCCTCTCGGAGGTCTTGTCGCTATCGTCGCCGCCCTCTCGGGCGGGCTTGGAGGTACTGGGCTTTTCAAAAAAAGTGCTTCTTTGTTATCATTCTAAACTCATAGTCAGTGAGAAGAAACAGACACATTAAATACCGCCAAAAGACGTTGCAGAGGGGGGCAGACTCGCATGTTTATGATGTTCTGCAGATTTGGTGATGAATTGAAGAAGGGAAAAGATGAGAAGTTGCAGGTGCTAGGCACCGATGTGAATTTCACCCCGTTCACGTGATAGATACTACAGGCAGGCAGGTACGGACGGCTAGGTATGAGGCCGTTCCCAACAAGAAGGCACTGCCTTCCCGAAGAACCTTCTCGTTTACCAATTCTAGAAGCTCTTTGCGGTTGCTATGCGGTGTATCCAAGTAACTGCTTTGCACTTATCCTGCCTCAAGAAATAAGACCTGATGGTATCAAGTTAAGTCGGATGGTTTAAAATCTACCTAAAGATTTTATAAGGACTCCTAAGTCTCCTAAAGATTTACAGAAAAGGGGCCATGGCAGCCTAACGACCTTGATTGCCTCGACTACAGTCTATCTCACTACTTCAATTCTGGGATAATAATGCTATAGTTAATGTTTTCTGGTTCATTTCTCAAGGTTGATAGCGTGCCGCCAGATGTATATGAAAGAGGTTCATGTTGTTGTGCTTCTGATGTTGAACTACATCTTTCTTTGAGAAACTTTTTCCTAGTCCTGGCAAAACATCGCAGTATGACTAAAACCAGTTATTGAATTGGATTTCATCACGTTAAATCACGTAAAGCTGTATTTATTTCTGTTCTCCCGACTTTCGTTAGGATGATTTGGCTTCTGGGCATATTTGGTGTTTCCAACTGTAAGGTCACCTTGCCCGGTAAGGGGCTACGCATACATCACTTGGTGAACTCCAAGACTTAAAGATAAGCAGACACATCATAGCAAACATCGTTGATAGACTGAAATTATACCATAAGGGTTCTTCATAGTCATTCCATAAGCAAACGTACGCCTTCGCTAAATGTACGGTCTAGGCTGTTGTACATAAGTTATCAACGGGGTCCAAAACACCATATTCTAGCATGTTCCACGTCTCGTCCAAAATTCATCATTCCACGCTTCGCTGCAGACTTCCAGCACACTCGCTCTTCCTTCTTACGACATTGTTTTCATAAAGTCGTCCAGGTCGAAACTCTCCTCGTACTGCTTGTTGTCCCAAAGCTCTCCCAAATCATCCAGCCACGCCTTCTTTCCTGGTGCACGTACGTCACCTGTTTCAATATCGACCATGTCTTCCTCCCTTCCATCGATATTGTTCTTCTCCTTGTCGGCCAAAAGATTTGGCGCGGCATCACCGACATTGAACAGATCCAGAATCTGATCCGTGTCCATTGTCGAAAGGCCAGCGTTCTGTTGGTTCACGACAGTTGATGCGACGTCAATCTTGAATCGCTGGAGGTTCAGAATCTTCTCCTCCAGAGTTCCACGAGTGATTAGTCGGTACACGTTGACCACCTTCTTCTGTCCAATACGATGGGCTCGGTCCATAGCCTGGAGATCTTTCTGGGGGTTCCAGTCATGCTCGACAAAGATAACAGTATCAGCACCTGTCAAGTTCAAACCGAGACCTCCAACGCTAGTTGTCAGCAAGAGCACATCGTAGGACGGGTCACTGTTGAACTTGTTGACAATGTCTTGTCTCTTATTGGCTTCCACAGAACCGTCGAGTCGGAGGTGCGACACTGAGGGCAGCAACTCCTTCAGAACCTTGTTCTGTACCATGTCGAGCATTTCCTTCATTTGACAGAAAATGAGTGCGCGATGAGGCTTGATCGGTTGATAAAGAGGGTCGTTTGAGTCATTCCCTTCAACACCAATACCACAATCCACCAAAAGATCTCGCAAAGCGGTAAGCTTAGGTGCATGCTGTGCGTCTTCGATTGAAGTTCCCTGCTTGGCAAGAATCTTCTGTGTGTCGTCGTACAGGTTACTTCCCGGCTTCATCACCATGGCAGGAGAGTTGCACAGCTTGCGCATGTACTGCAGCGCCTGGAAAATGTGTTGCTTGGCTTCCTTGTCTTCTCTGCCTGCCTCCGCCTGGATCTTCTTGCCTTGTTTCCTGGTAAAGTCCTCAAAGAGCTTCTGTTGCAGGTCACTCAAGTCGCAGTAGTAGTTCTGCAAGATCTTTGGTGGGAGATCGTTCAAGACCTCTTCCTTGAGACGACGCAGCAAGAATGGCAGGACCTGTTTGTGAAGTGCCTCAATAGCCAAAGCACCTGCTTCCTGTTCCTTGGACGAGGCTTTGCTGAATCGACTTGCAGCAATAGGTTTCGCGAAGCGATCCAAAAAGACCTTCTCAGCACCCAGGAAACCAGGCATCAAAAAGTCGAACAGAGACCATAGCTCCAAGACATTGTTCTGGATAGGAGTGCCTGTGAGAATGAGACGATGGTTGCTGGCTAGCCTCTTGACAGCTTGCGTGATCTTGGCCTTCGGGTTCTTGATCAAATGACCCTCGTCCAGTACGACGTAATTCCAGCTATGCTGACCCAGAATTTCAGAGTCGTTACGGCAGACATCGTAAGATGTAATCACGATGTCAGTTTCGCCGAGTCTCTCTTTGAGGGCCTTTCTCTCTGCAGGTGGCCCGACATATGCAGTGACGCTCAGGAACGGTGCATATGTCTTGATTTCTTGCAACCAATGTCCCGAAAGCGTGGGGGGGCAGACAATAAGAGACGGCATTCTTCGGACGTCAGGCGCCTGTGTCTTGGCGAATTCCTCAGCACGCTGGTGGTGATCACTTGCTACGATGCAAAGTGTTTGCAACGTTTTGCCTAGACCCATGTCATCACAGAGAATGCCGTGGAGGTGGTACTTGTTGAGGAAATTGAGCCAGTTGACACCTTCTTGTTGGTATGATCGCAGCTCGGCCTTGATGGCAACGGGGATTTGGAACTGCTCCACCTTCTTCGGATCCAGCAGCTGTGCGATAAATGTTCTCTCGCGGTCTCTTCCCTTCAGCAACTCTTCGGACAGGCCTGGCGGGTCCGGAATTCCAGCCTCGAGGGGAACCAGTTTAACCAGTGTGGCAAAGGATGTCGTTGCAATAAGACGGATTTCGTTGTCCGAGTCGCTCATTCGTCCCAGAACCGGTACAATGAGGAAGATAACATATGGTAAAATAGCATCTCCCATCACAGCAATCAAGTGGTAGATAGCCTCGATTGCACCTTGTCGGAAGTTGAGGTCGACAGGGTTGTTGATTGATGGTAGAACCTTCTCGACAAGTGCAGTCATACCTTCAACAGTCATAACGCTGCAAATGGTAGCCATGCACTTGGCAGCCATGTATCGGAAGACCGAGAGCTCCGAATGAAGTGCTTTGATGACTAGAGGCATCATTTGCATGATAAAAGGTTGCAAGGCCTTATCGAGGGTTGGGGTCATTGTGCGAATAACGGACATGGCATCGACAATCTCTTGTCCAAAAGTCTGCTCAGGATCCTTCGCTTCTGCTGGCAAGGCATCGGAAAAGGCCCTGACCAGAGGCTCTTCCATGAATGTGCGGAGGCTGGGCACAGTTTCGAGTAGACTGGCGCCATAAGTTCTAGAAAGTATCTCCAATGCTTCTTTTGCGCCTCGTCTGGTAACACGAGCGGCCTTGGCTTCGCGCGCCCATTTAGCAGCATCTGGGTGATCGACACGGTCTTCCTCCTTTTGCATGGATAACACGCAGTCCGTTTTGCTGGCATGGACGGGAAATTCGGGTGTTTCTGCAACTTCGACGCAAGAGAACTTGACCAGGTTGGAAACCACCTTGTCTGCTGGTCCCTTTCGGCCCTTCTCGGTAAACAACTGCACGAGCCTTGCGATAGTATCGGCTGAGCGAACTTGCAGTTGTTGGTTCTCTTCTGTCTTGACAGAGTCCATGATGCCCTTGATCAGGGGACTGGGCTTCTTGGGTAGTACCTTCATACCGACCATGGCGCATGCTGCTGCTGCCTTAACACGAATATCACGAGCAGCCTTAGCAGTCTTAGCTTCTTCGATAGCCAACATGGTTATGTTGCGAGCTTCAGATAACTGTTGGCTGGCAATCATGCGCTGACCCGGCGGCATTGCCTTATTCAGCCTCTCGTAATCATCGCCGATGCACTTCTCAGCTATAGTAATAGAAAAGGCATTCGGACCAGCCTCAGCTTCTCCTTGAACCACGACAGGTAGTGTTGGAAGCTTGCTGTGTGAGACTTTGCCATGGTCGCGGAAGAGATGGATCAGTTGCTGGCACTGCGTACGAACTCGCTGGATGAAGTTCACGAGGTCTCTGTAAGCTGCTGGTCGCTCAGAATCGATGATGCGTTGAAGGTTTTCGAGGTAACGAGGAGAATCACCAAGAGCCTGGCTGTTTTTGGCATACTCGTCAATAACCACGCATGCTGTCATCTGACTCGAGGAGAATGCAGAACCCAGTCCAGGAATCAATAATGCATCGTAATCGTCCAAGCTGGCTGAAGGGACTCGGGACATGATGAAGCCCATGGCCTGAGCAGCTGATACGCGAGAGCGAATCAGCACATCCATGCCAACAAGATCGACGTCTCCTTGCATCATGTGGCCGTCGACATCGTGAGTCAGGCTAGTTGTAGGGATCTCGTCAACCTTGGTTGACTTTCGACGGCGTTTGGGGGCGCGGTCAGAACCATCTGGTGATGATGGCTTGCGAGGTGTATGTTGAATTGCGCCAGGCAAAGTATAAGTGCCGCCAGAGGGTTTTTGGAATAGGGAGGCATTCATGGGGATTGGGTTTCTTGAAACACCGATGGGGTGCAAGGTCAGCTGCATCATGGGGTCGATGTGAGCAGCGAATTCGTCTGCCAAGACAGCAGGCTTGGTAGCCAGACTTTCAACAAGCGACACCCACAACTCCAGGGACATGTTGAGCGCTTCCCTGTCCCTTTCAACGATGATGTTCTGAAAGATTAGCCGCAGTATTCTCCCATTGAGCCAACCCTGCGAAGTCTCTGCATCGAGTTTGGCAAATGTCGACAAAGCTTTCAGGACAGCTACGCGCACTGACGTGATGGTATGGCGTAGGAAGGGGTAGAGTCTAGGAACGAGCAAGGTGAAGGATCGTTCCTCGTCTTGTGCTGCCGATGCTTTCATAGCTTCGAGAACTTCGGGGAACCCGCAAAGTGTAGCAAGGAGGTCCATAATACGACCAGTGCTGGCACTAAGATCGTCACCAAGATTTGACAAACTTTCCCATATTATGTTTACGAGACCATCGAGCTTTGCGGGTCGCAAAGTCACAAACTCCTTGGCCATGGGGATCAACGTGGCAGCGCTGACAGAGCGGACGTCATCATCCATATCTCCCAATCCTTTCATGACAGTCTTGATGATGCCGTCGATCATGTCACTGTCTTGGAGTAAAAGATCCTTCCTTACTGCAACGACATATCTGAGACCAATCATACCACCATGGCACACGGACCAAACTGGCCGTTCAAGTTTGAGGTCTTCTTGCATCACCATTCTGTAGAGGATTGTGAAAGTGCTGTAAACAGATGATGAAGGGAGATGCTTCAAGACGGATCCAAGAGACTGGCCAATTGTCTCCCGGATAGGTGCCACGGAGGTGTCGGAGCTGTAATCGGTGAAGCGATCTAGCATCAGTACACAACACAAACGGCAGGCCATATCATCGAGCCATCTTCGGTTGAGCGCATCATTCTCCTCCTTTGATTTGTTGCGACATCTGCCGGCGCCTCCACCATGAACTCGAATAACCTCGCGGAGACCCATGGCAGCTCCGTGTCGGGTTTCCCAGGAGGAGTCGAACAGATCAACCTTGAGAAAATCGCAGAGTCGGTCGTATGGCCACTCGGCACCTTCCATGGTGTCTTCGGCTTCGAGTTCGGACTTGATGGGAATTACAGGCCCCTTGAATTCGCTTACGACTTTAGTTTCCTCGTCAACATCGGCGGGGCGTTCAAGGTTAAAGTAGTCGTTCACTTTGCTGTTTTTCTTAGCTTCTCCGTCGGGCATTGGCGAGTCATCTCCGATATTCTCGGAACCTGATGTCATTGAACGTCTGACAGACAGATCTCCAAATCCACCTTTGCCCTGAGATGCTTTCATCGCCTCTCTCTTGCGTTTTCGCTTCAGCACATTGAGTTGACGAGAGCTTAGCTGGGACTCTTCAGGGGCGTGCGCTTGCCCGCCTGCCCCATCAGTACGATTGTGTCCATGGCCGTTTGCGGCGTCCATCGGAGTCCCGGGCGCGGCCAGATTATCACCACCTGTGTAAGCGATCTCCTCGTCTTCGTACTTCCTTCCAAGTAGACCTAACCGTCCGGCGAGCGTCCTCTTCTGGTGTGCCAGTCGTGCTTGAGGGTCAAGTGCCGCTATTCCGTACTCAATACCACCACCGCGTAATAGTTCCCTGCCGTATCTTAGAATCATCTCGACATCGAGGGATTCCAATTTGAAGAAACCGTCATCTTGAGGTATTGTCTTCGCCTCATCCTCATCCTCTTCCTCCTTTTTGATTTGTCCATTTTCAGGGGCATCTTCCTCTTTCTTTGGCTCTACAGGTGCATCTCCAAAATTTGGATCATAGATAGGGGCATACTCGGCAATCTTACCGATAGCAGAAGCAGCGGTTCTCCGTGTCTCCCATTCCTTGTGTCGTAGGTAGGGTACAACACGAGAGAGAAGGTTGAAAAGTTCATCAGGGTGTTGTTTTTGCCAGTCGGCAAGTTGATTAACGGCAGTGTCACGGATTAATCTCGTGCTCCCTGTTTCAAGGATACTAGGAAGGTGTTAGTCTTTTCATACTTGTAGATATAGAGAAATTGTTGAACAGCAAAGAGTTACTTTAGGATAAAATAACCTTGTGTTCACCAACCATGAGGATGACAAGTCATGTACACTTACGTGACTAATCTGTCGAGTCTATAAAAAGTCAGTATGTCATGGTACTATAGTTGAGAATGTGGGGAAGCTTACCTCGAAGCCATTGTGTGTATTAGATGGGGGTGATATTATAAGCGCGTATCAGGACATCTCGCTCGCTGCGGGGCAAATGTCAGTTTTGAAGATCAGTTGAGTGTGTGAATTCTGTATCAGGTCATCAACTAGAATTGGTGACATAAAAGCTGTGTCAATGTGCTATCCAGCGCGACGGGACCGTGTAGCGCGACGTGACAGGATATAGTGGGTCGCCGGGAGTGAGATGCATGCATCTGGAACACAAGACCAAAGAAATAGGTGGGCGAGCTGGTTCAGCAAGCGCCTACCAGGCAAAGCAAGTGTTGGAGTACTGTGATAGGGAAGATTGAAAAGGATGACAACCGAATATCGAGAAGTGCCGACATTTTAAGAAACAAATTAAGAAAGGTAGCGAATCATGCATGACGCAGCCTGATCAAGTGTGGGGAAATTCATATCAAGGGATCATCAGATATGATAGGGAGAGAAAGCGGAAAAAACAAAAAAGAGATACCAGGGTTCAATCACTTACTGTGAGTTGGTGATGAGGAAAAAGGCGGCGTCAAGCCTTCAGTTGAGTTTGCAAGGCTTAGCAAAGCTGTCAACTACAAAATGTTGTTTGCCGAAGTTCCCGGTCTAAAATGATCCAGTATCAAAAATCCCCCTGTCTAGAGCGCATGCAGCATCGGCACTTAGAGTCAAGTTAGGGTGGACGTTGAGATGGATGTTATGCAGAGAGATACGCTGCAATGAGACGTAGCCGATCAGTCGTGACGTGACAGTTCGGCGGTTTTTTTGGTTCCTTAGAAACGCTCCGGTTGGCCGGGTTGCGGAAGCTTGGGGTGAAAGGCTGGGATTTGTAGATGTCGAGGTATTGGATGGCCAAGTGTCCGCTTGATGCCGTATTATACCCAGCAACGATAGGGGAAGTAACCAGGGACAAAAAAGGTGAAGTGCAAATAAAAGTGGGTTCGGCTTGAGCTTGTTTGAATGGGAAGCTCGCTCTTGCCTGGATGGGTAGGAGATGGTGATTTTGCTTGGTTGCTGTTTCCGCTTACGCAAGTTGGCAGTGTGGTGCTGGTCTTGGTGCGGTGCGGTGCTGGCTGGTACAGTGCTGCTGTGGCCAACTGGGAAAATCGGGGTGGAGGGCAGGCTGGGTCTTCTATAAGTGAGTGCTTGTATTTATAAACGCGGCGCGGCTTGGGGAAGCACGGCCAACGGTTTCTTTCCTTGCGCTCGCTTAATTTCCCTGTTGCCTTTTTAGCGTCACATATGCCCCTGTTCTTTCTCTCCTAAGCTTGCCTTTGGTCAGCTACATCGAGACTTATCCACTTTTGGCTCAAGTTCACCAACCAGGCCCACTTAAGATGTGGTCAAGCCGCGAAGATCTTGGCCAAGCACTGAAAGGCATTCAGAATTTGGCGTCCGGCTTAAAGATAATCCGTCGAGTTTGTGCAGGTTGGCAGTTGTTGATTGGTGGGTTGGTTATCATGTTTCTACCCTGTATCTTTCATCTATACATGAGCAGCATCTTTCACGGTCTTTGTTGTTGATATCAGAGAGTCTATTTGTGTGCACGATTCATATCGCTGTTATTGTATGCTTCCATATCTAGAGAAAACCACTCAAGTTTTATTGGTAACCACTAAATTCAGCATTCGGCGCAAGGAAACGTGTCCCATTCCGAGGTGAAAGACAAAGCCTAATCTAGTTGCAGATGAAACTCCTCCGAGGTTGCGACCATGACATGTATCAAAACATTCGTTACCAGGTAGGTACACATAACATGAAACGAAGAGAAAATATTGTAGTGGATAGATCGTCCGTATCTAACAAGTGCCGGTTTGAATGAATGACGGTAGACATGCCTTCAAATATGGCGTATATCGGCCTTGTCAAGTAAAACACAAATAATTCGATAAGTGAGATGTGCCTAAGCCGCTATACAAGAAGTAGTAAATCATTGCCGACGAATGATATGCTTCAAGCTACGGTATACGGCTTTACAACCATGTCAGTAAATCAGATATGTGGAAATTATCTATGTGCAACGATGATCCCAAGAACCAACAACCAGATCATTGACCAGGATCAAAGTAAAAGACAAAGACAAACAGCATGTGAGTGCACGGACCATGACTGTGATTCAGTCGGAAGGTATGATGTTCCGGCTAAACCAGCCCGCGACAGGACGCGCCAAGACAGCCACTGATCGCGGTACCAAAGACGCGCATTCAGTCGCATCACTAGGTGAACATCACAAACTTACTCGAGATTGCGCAACCTGCTGCAGTTTAATAATTTCTATTTTTCGCATGTTGCGCAGGAGCGCCGGCGCAGCTCATTATGTATATCAAACAAATTATCATCCAGGGCTTTAAAAGGTACGTTCGCTAACATTGTTGTAGAATTGGGTTCCCCTCCACGCCCAATATACAATGCTAACTCTGCGACAGCTACAAGGACCAAACAGTTATCGAGCCCTTTTCTTCAAAGACCAACGTCATTGTCGGTCGTAATGGATCGGGCAAAAGCAACTTTTTTGCAGCTATCCGGTTTGTTCTCAGCGATGCATACACCCAGATGAGTCGCGAAGAGAGACAGGGTCTTCTCCATGAAGGTTCAGGCTCCGCCGTCATGTCAGCGTACGTGGAGATCATATTCGACAACAGCGATGACCGATTCCCGACTGGAAACAAGGAGGTCATCTTGCGCCGCACGATCGGTCTGAAAAAAGACGAATACTCGGTGGACCGCAAGGTGGTCACAAAGGTTGATGTCATGAATCTTCTTGAGGCTGCTGGATTCTCTCGATCAAATCCGTACTACATCGTGCCACAGGGACGAGTTACCGCCCTGACGAATATGAAAGAATCCGACAGGCTCAATTTGTTGAAGGAGGTAGCCGGAACACAAGTGTACGAGACACGCCGTGCAGAGTCACTGAAAATTATGAACGAGACAAACAACAAGAGAGAAAAGATTGACGAGCTTTTGGTTTACATCAAAGAAAGACTGAATGAGCTTGAAGAAGAAAAGGAAGAGCTTAGAGGCTTCCAGGACAAGGACAGAGAGAGACGATGCCTCGAATACGCATACTACCACAACATACAGCTCAATGTCCAATCGGCTCTCGAGGAGCTCGATAATGCTCGACAAGATGGCATTGACAGCTCCGACACTAACAGAGCAGAGTTCTCACAGGGAGAAAAGGCCATATCAAGGCTTGACTCGGAAATCCACAAGTTACAGAGGGAGATGGAGCTTCTACAGATCGACCGCCGACAGCTAGAGGAAGATAGACGCGACAGTGCCAAGACCATGGCTAAAGCTGAAATGAAGGCCAAGAACTTGAAAGAAGGCCAATCTGCTCAGGAACAAGTCCGAGCTCAACATGCAGCTGATCTTGAGTCCGTGCAGAACGAGATAGCATCAAAAGAGCAGCAGCTTTCCACCATTTTGCCAGCATACAACGAGAAAAAGCAAGAAGAGGACAATGTCAGGCGACAGCTCGACCATAGCGAATCCACACGCAACCGTTTGTTCGCCAAGCAGAGTCGTGGTTCCCAGTTCAGAAACAAGTCCGAGCGCGATGCATGGCTCAAGAAAGAAATTCAAGAACTTGAACTCAATATCAGCACACAAAAGGCCAACAAGATCGACGCAGACGAGGAAGTTCAAAGAGTCCACGAATCAATTATTCAAGCAGAGCAAGAGGTTGCTGAGCTGCGAAACCGTCTCGCCAACTTCAGTGCTGAGAGAGGAGCCCTTGAGGAGGAGGCTACGAAGGCGGGCGACGTTATTGACAAGCTCAACGACGAACGAAAACTTGTCAGACGTGAAGACGACAAACTCAACTCAGTTATAGCTAATGCTCGTCAAGAAAAAGAGGCTGCTGAACGCGAATTATCGCATACTATGGATGGAGCAACTGCCCGCGGTTTAGCAACAATCCGACGACTGAAGCATGAGCGCGATATTCCGGGAGCATATGGGACACTAGCTGAACTGCTTGAAGTTGGTGACGCCTACAGGCTTCCCGTAGAGCAGATTGCCGGCGCAAGTCTCTTCCATTATGTCGTTGACAACGCAGATACAGCCACATACCTTGCAGACACTCTGTACAGACTACAGGGAGGTCGAGTTACGTTTATGCCTCTTGCTCAACTGCGACCCAAGCCGATCAACCTCCCTAGGTCTAATGATGCAGTACCCCTTCTTAGCAAGATCTCATACGACCAACAGTACGAGAGGGCTTTCCAACAAGTATTCGGCAAGGTTGTTGTCTGCCCCAACTTGACCGTAGCAGGTCAATACGCACGAAGCCACGGCGTAGACGGTATCACTGCTGAAGGTGACACAACCAACAAGAGGGGTGCTATGACTGGTGGATACATCGATCCTCGCAAGTCTCGTTTGCAAGCTGTCCAGGCCGTGAACAAGTGGCGGGGCGAATACGAGAGATTGCTGGCACAGTCCCGGGACATCCGACAACAGATAGAGCTGAAGGATCAAGAGATCACAGCAGCCATGTCAGAACTCCAAAAGGCTAGGGAGAGACTACGACAAGCTGTTGATGGTTTCGAGCCACTCAGACATGAGTTGATGAACAAGTCGACACATCTGGAGAACGAGCGAAGCCACCTCGACGCAGCTGTCAAACGCCGAGATGCAGTTGAGAGTAATATGAACAGTTTCTTGGAAGACCTTGCTGGCCACGAGACGGAGCTCAAGTCAGATTTTAAGAAGAATCTGACCTCGGCAGAAGAGCGCCAGCTGGAGGAACTTGGCAACAGCATTCAAGAATTCCAGAAGCAATGGAATGAGCTCAGCAAGGCCCGACGTGATCTGGGACGGCAGAAGCAGCTCCTTGAGGTTGACCTTCGCCAAAATCTGCAAATGAAGCTTGACCAGCTCAACAGCCAGGCCTTTGAAAACTCAACCTCTGGGTCTTCAGCTGGTGGATTGAAGGAGGCTCAAAGGGAACTGAAGAAGGCACAAAAAGCACAGAAAAACGTGGAGGCAAGACTTCAAGAAGTAGAAGCCAAGCTGGACGATTCGCAAGCCCGATTAGAGCAACTCGAGAACGATAGAGCTCAGCGAGAGCAAGCTCAACAAGAGATATCCGCAAGGATCGAGAAGCAGCAGAAGAGAATGGACAAGAGTCTTCGAAGGAAAGCCGTCTTGACAACGCAAGCCTCGGAGTGTGCCCAGACCATTCGTGATCTGGGTGTGCTCCCCGAAGAAGCCTTTGATAAGTACGAGAATATGGACCCCAAGACCGTAAGTTGTCCCTTAAGTGTTGATGAAAACGAACACTAATATGTCTTTAGGTGTCCTCCAAGATCAAGCGGGTAAACGATGCACTGAAGAAGTACAAGCACGTCAACAAGAAGGCCTTCGAGCAGTACAACAACTTTACGACACAACAAGACCAGCTTATGAAGCGACGTAAAGAGTTGGACGAGTCTCAAGAGTCCATCGAGGAACTCGTTGAGCATCTCGACAGAAGAAAGGATGAGGCCATTGAGCGAACATTTAAGCAAGTGTCAAGAGAGTTCACAACCATTTTTGGCAAGCTTGTGCCTGCTGGTCACGGTCGTCTGCTGATCCAGCGACGGGCAGACCGCCGTCAAGAACCCGCTGACGAATCTGATGGAGAAGCTCGAGGTGCTGTTGAAAACTACACAGGTGTCGGAATCAGTGTGTCATTCAACTCCAAGCACCTTGACGAGCAACAGAAGATTCAACAACTCAGTGGTGGTCAGAAGAGTAAGTCGTCTCGCATCCCTACTAAAGACTTGACAACTAACATACGCAGGTTTGTGTGCTCTGTGCCTCATTTTCGCTCTCCAGGCAACTGAGAGCAGTCCTATGGTCATTTTCGACGAGGTCGACGCTAATCTGGACGCCCAATACCGAACAGCAGTTGCAGCCCTGCTTGACTCCATCTCCAACGAGATTGGTACGCAATTCATCTGCACCACTTTCCGACCTGAGATTGTGCATGTCGCAGACAGATGTTATGGTGTGACGTTCCGCAACAAGACCAGTTCAATCGACTGCGTCAGCACCGAGCAAGCCCTTGACTTTGTTGAGGGTCAAGCAAAGCCTACTTAGGCGAAACAAAGGGACGGTAATGTGGTTTTTCGGATTGTATGTAAAACTGTGCATGGAGATGGTGGACTGGCGTTGGGTTGCTTAATACCAATCCCTTATGCGATTACGATCGGCTTTTTAAGTGCTTACTTTGGGCTGTCGTTTCTGGACGAGATGGAACTTCGATATTGTACTTTGAGCGGCCTTGTGAGGCGTTGAAGATAGGCATACATTATCTGCACATGCAGGCATTGAAATCATGAATTCTATGGTACTTTTTTCACTAATGTGATACTTGATGATATCAGATAATACGTGCATGAGCCCAAAATGATACGTCTTGACATTTTTATTGTTCTGTACAGCAAAGTATACATGGTAATTATACACGCAGTAGCCATTCATACTGCCAATATCTACCCAACCCTCTAAATTTACCTGTCAGTCATCATGTTGCGCACACCCTTGAAGTATGACTTGGGCAACTCTTTTTCCAACTCCTCACGAGTCAACCACTTGAACTCGGTGTAACCAAAGGGGTTATCCTTCAGATCGGCCTGACCTGCCATTATTCTGCCCTTGATGAAGAATGTCTTTTCACCCTTCTTCTCAACGACACCTTCCTTGCTGAGCGTGGGTCGAGAGACGACATGGGCAACTGGTATGCGGCTCACGAGCCAAGTGTTCATGTTGACACCAGCAGCCTGGTCAAGAACTCGCTTAGCGGACTTTAAAAGGTTAGCAGTTGTTCGAAATATCTTATGCCGTACATCTTACCTCGTGAAGGTTCTCGTCCTTGGGAATCACATCCGCGGGGAAGCCCCATCCATCCTTACCCTTGACCACAAGATACAGGGTTCGGTCAAGTTGACGATCCAGCCTCTTAACATCGCCCTTGTGGTCGGCCTCAGTAACACGATCCGCAGGGGGCTCAACAGGAACAACATCATTGGAAGGAATAACCTCAGCATCATCACTGACACGCGACTCAGCATCCTTCAACAGAGATTTGACAATAGTCTCCTGGTTGCTCAGCTCATCTCCAACCTTGAGCTCATCTTCCCACGCCTTGGAACTCTTGCCATTGTAAATACCCAGCTCCTTGGCCACTGTTCCCTGTCGCTCCTGAACCTTGATGTTCCAGTCTAAACGGCGAGCTGTATCGGGCTTGAAGTAGATGCCCGTGATGAAGGGAGTGTTGAGACGTTCCTCGAGACGCTTCTGGTAAAAGAAGAAGGAGTTCTCAAAGGGGTGAAGTTTCCGTGTCACCAGTGGTGGTCGAGTAAGAATCACTCCAGAACGAACATCGTAAGGCGGCGAGTTGGGTGCGTTTGAGGGAGGCGAGGCATCGGTGGGAGTTTTCGCTACGGCTGCAGCGACGGATGAGTAGAGTCGTGCAGGGATTCTAGGCAGGGCGGAGGAGGATGAAGAAGCGCATCGAGCGCAGACGTTGGGAGAAGCTATAGTGGTTCAGTGGTTAGTTTATATACCAGGCTTTGGAGAGGGTTTAAGAGGGCTCGTGAAAGCGCCAATTGAACCTGATGTAGAGAGGAAATGGACTTACTGGATAGCACAGCCTGAACGGCCCGCCCACCCCGACTTGAAGCTGTCATTCTGGCTATCTTCGCTGACCCAAGACGTTGCGATTGGGTGACGAGAAGCAATGCGGGATGGGATATGATATTCAACCTCTCACTCTCGAACTTTTCCCGCTAGCTGCTGGGTACGTACCTGTCGATGCGGTTCGTGGTTGTCTTATCGAGCACGTGATGATAAGACTTGAATGTGGAGTAAATCCACAGTACAGAGCTGTGGGCACCTTTAAATATTTCCCGGCCTTGACGAATTTCTGTTTCTCTTTCTTTTTTTCCCTCTCAAGGCACCATTCCTTATCATCGATACCTGTTCCGCCTCCAGAACGTCTCGACCATTTAAGGTGCCCAGAGTGATTCCGCAGTCTTTTTCGCTAGCGGGGCCTGCAAGAAATTCTTATCCTACCGGGTTCTGTTAGATAGATACTGCTGACATTTCAACGTCTCAATGTTGATTTTGGTGTAAAATAACCGTAAAATTCATCCCTGTAAACTTACCGAGGGCTGCCTACAAGGCTCCTTGAGATCGTCACCTGACGTATGTTAAAGTTCTATACGTGCATATGTCAAGCAAGTCATGGTGGACACGCTGTAAGCTCCAATGATTTCCATCTGAATGTTGAATTAATTGACAACTCAACGGCTATCGCCAATGAGAAGTTGATATTCAAATATGTGACTACCTGGTTACATAAAACATGTCAGGAACAAAGAAACTATGATCATACATATCCTGTACTGAGCTCTGCTTTATGTCCGACTCAACTCCGTTGTGACACCGCGCTTTCAAAATGCAAAGAATCATGCCCGCCTTTCAAATAATGCTGATTGCTGGGTATCAAATCACATGGAACCGAACCCCAACCCAATCATGCCTGCCTGAACGCCTGCTTAACTCTGTTTCCGCCTTGATTCGTTGTATCGTAAAGCTAAGCAGACAATTCTGCAACTGCTTGAGCCACCTCCTTGGTCGCTCGGTTCTCCCATTGTCGACGGGCTTCATCGCTTAGCGATGCTGCACCCTTGACTTCGTCATAAAGTTTTCTTGAGATGTCTCTGTTAATAACCGAGTATTGTTCAGTTGTCAGCTTTCGAGACCGCCAGTGCGGTCGCAAAGCACCCTTGACTATCTCGTTTATGCTAACTTTGTCTTCTTGGGTAAGATTGAGATCTGTTGGTGGTTCCTCCTTTCTTTGAACTGAAACCTCGTCCGGGCGGCGTGGTCGGGGTTGTCGTATCTCTAGCGGGCGGCTTTCGGGAAGTCTTGCAGGGCCTGCCTCGGAATCGCTATTGTCGCGACTTGTCTGTTCGCGACTTGGGCGTTCACGACGTGAACGAGTGGGTGAAAAGTTGATCGCATTCCTTGCCGAGCGCATCTCCGAATCGCTGTGGTCATGGTTTTTACGAATAGGCGAATAATTTGCGGGTGCATATCGTGGTTGAATAGTGCTGCTGAGCGAGAGTGTTGGTGAACCTGGCCGACCATTAAAGTTTGGCATGGGAGGAGGAGTGAGAGAAAGAGCCCGAGGGCTGCCAAATGCTGATGAGGTTGGTGACATAACCGGCGAGAGAGCTGGCGACGAGGCATCTGGCATATGCCGCCATCCATTATTTGTTGTTGATGTGTCGTCGTCAGACATGATGCTTGGTTCAAGCTCTTTCAGCAGTGATGAAACTAGGGGAGGGTCAATACCGCCATGATCGGCAATACCGTTCCTGGAAGATACTCCATTGGTGTTGATCCTTGCTGTTGAGGGTCCAGGTGCTGGAGACGATAGCGAACTCGAGCCCTCGCCGTTCTGTGTAGGCAGGCGACGAGTTCGTGGACGCTTGAGCTTCCTTTCAGGTTCTTGAACTGGCTCGCGGGGCGACGCAGTTACAGACCGCCCTTTGCGCTTGCGAGAGTTGGTGCTAGGCTCTTCAGTTTGTCGTGCACGCTCCAAAGCGCCCCAAGCTTGTCTTTCTTCAGCCGTTTCTTGAACTACTGGCTCAGGCGGTGGTTGAAGTCGTTCGCTGATGGCCGGGGGGATGTTGTTCACAAAGACATCACGAGCGCCTAAGCGTCGAGCGATGTCCATTCGTTGCTGCCAGCGTTCGAGTTCGCGTCGTCCGACCTCTTGAAATCGCCTAAATTGCTCGAGTTCTTCGTCCTCATCATCGTGATTGTCCAAATCCAAGTCACTCATTTCGTAAAATCGACCAGAGAACTGCCCCCATGCGCCTTGCCACTCGACATTTCGAGCTTGCCGGCGAGCTCGTCTTAGTCGTTCTCGAGTTCGTACATGGTAACCGCGCACGTTCCTAGGGTTTGGGCGACGCACGTATGAAGGACGAGGTGATTGCTCTCCAGCTTCGGTAGCTTCTGGCTCTTCCACAAGCTGGAAAAGATGGGCACACTCCATGCAATACCAGTCACCGTCAGGGATAGCTTCGAGCCCTATGCAGTGGGTGTGGTATGCGGCATCGCAGCTGTCGCACAAAAGTAGGACATCTTCTCTTTCTGAGGAGTTGCAAATAGGGCACGGGTTGCCTTGTTCCTCTTCATCTTCCTCGGGGTTGTCGCCAAGCCACTGTCTTACATCGAACTCGGCGACCTGTTTTTTATCTTGAACATCGTATTTGGAGATGGCGGTTCCTGCAAGAGTAAATTGATTAGTGAATGTCGAGGGATATGGGGGAAGCGAATATGCTCAGGCTTTGGGCTTACCGTCTACACCGTTGTATACTCGAACTGAATGAAACGGACATCGACAAATTGGACATGTATTTGTCTTTTTCGCCCATGAGCGAATGCATGCATCATGGATAATGTGATCGCAACCGTCAAGTTCAGCGACAACATTCAAATAATTTGAATCGTCCTCGAGAACTTCTGTGGCTGTAGTGGTTGTGGCAGGAATAGGCGTGGACTCAAAAGTAAAGGTGGATGCAGATGCGGATGCGGATGCGGCAGAAACACCACCAATACCAGTACCAGTATCAGTACCAGCAGAAGCAGCATCACTCGCAGCTATAGTGAGGGCAGCTGGAGCTTGAAGGGGAGCCGAAGGTCGAGGTAAAGGGTCCAGGCATATGATGCACTGTTCCGCTTCAGCCATGATGTCTGATGTGATAAAAGAGACGGTATTTAGATGAGAACATGTAAAATAGAATAAAGTCGACTCGGGTAGAGTAGAATTGAATCGAGTCGACTCGAATCAAAGAGGGCGGTGATGATGGTTAAAATGGGAATGGGAGGTCGATTAGGCGGGATGGAGGGGGCAAAGCAGAACTAGGCCTGTGTAGTGATGCGTTAGTGGACAAGAGTCCCTGCAACATCGAAGGAAAATAAGAGAAAAAGAGTTCCAGCTCCAACGTTAATTAATCAATGTTTTTCTACTGTACTGCCTGGGATGTCAGGGACTGGACAGGACGTGACCGGGGCCAATGAGCGCTTATCCGTCTTGGTTCAGCGCCACGTCCTTACTTGCCTACAACCTGCATTACAGAGAGGGTAAGAGTGAAAATGGAATAGGTAATAGAATGACATAAATAATCTGTGTTTATATTTCTTTTTTATTTATCCAGTTGATGCCTCATGGACATAATATCAGGGTTGAATAAGTCTATAATACAAGTTTAAAAAGCTGGCATATACTCCGCAGTATGTACTTGTTCCACTCCAAGTGCTCACATTCACTCCTTTGTCTTCCGAGTCAATAATTACAGTTCCCCGTTCATCTCGGAACATAACTGGCGACTTTATTATTACGGGCACGTCGCGGCGCGACTGAGTCCCTTGTTCTATTTACAGTGCACCAATCCAGGTGCGAAAATCCACACCCTGGCACTCCATTACTCGAAGTGTTCATCAATAAAATAAGCGAATGATGAGAAGTAACACTCTAAAACAGGTACGTTTCTAGAATAACCAGCAGTCTCAACATCCAGGATCGAGCCAATATTATACATTGACTCTCGATATATTATGTGTGCTATGCATAAATACCTACCTGTCTTGAGTAGCTTGCCAAGACTCGGACAAGTCGACACCTTGATAACGCGAGTGCAGAGTGGAAGATACATCTGCCAAATAAAGTAGATACCCGAAATCCTTGCTGTGCGACAGGAGCCAGTCAGCTGAGTGCATGCGAGTCTTTATCTTCGATCTCCTCAAACTGTAACTAGAATTGGGACACACCGATCTGTGACTACTTGGGCTAATGGGTAGCAGAAACCTCTGAACTTTGGAGTATGAAAATAATCAGTAATCTAATACTACAGTCTAAATAGCATAAAGTGCTGCTAATTTTGCCTCTTGTACACCAAGCGCCCAGCTTTGCTGATACCCTGAGATTGGGTTCTCGTAGATCTCACGATTCATTATCTGGGCACTTATACATCGCTTTTTTGTCTGCCTTGATGTCTGTAAAACCTGCTTATGTAGTAAAATGATTTGCTCAACCTTAGAGGCAGCTTCACTGGAAATAATCACAAAATGTATACGTATCAAATCAATCAGCCCACAGAGAAGCGCGCTCAAGACTCATGGGCTATGCAGCCCAGAGGTAAACAGTCTGGCCTGGATCGACCCTGGCGCGTCGTGTGTTACGGCCTTGTGACATATACCACCCAAGTTTGGCTTCGCCTTCACACCAACCTCCACTATGGGCGGGTTTTAGTCTCACTCGAGTTGTGTCCTGAACAACAACTCATTCTTACATGCTCTTCGGCACCATTATTGCCTTACAGAATGAACCACATTGTGTGAGTCAACCCTAGGAAACTATAATGGAGTTGGCTACAGATGCACGGCTCGTGAGTTTGTGCGCGGTGGGCTTCAGGTCCACCAGACTCGGTTCAGGGCAAATAGTCATGGTCAGTGCCTTTACTCAAGTCAACATTGAAAGTATTCGACTTTGTGCCGATGACACTGCGTGACCACGTAGAGCCAAAGCAAAAACGTCATTGATCCATGTCATTCCGAATCAGCTCCAACGTCATTTTTGACCAAGGCGGGAACAGGAACCCAAGATACGACA